GACCGTCTAGGCAAAAATGGGGATTTCCCTAGGTAGAGTAATACGTCTGTCTCTTATACACATCTAGATGTTTATAAGAGACAGGGAACTACGGCATTGAATCCAGGTTAAAATCTATCTGAAATCTATCCTACTGCCATCAATGTATATCATAATACAAATAATATACAGTATGATACAAACACTTTTCTTTTAATATTTTAGCTTGCTTTACTTACATGTTTTGTATTATTATTGTGTTGTGGGTTAGAAAGTACAGTAAACCCTTGTGTTATCTCTTTCGGTTGAAATCTATCTTGGGAATATTATTGTCAAACTCCATACTCTATGATGAAAGCCAAACATATTCAGGCTTCCTTCATTCCCAAAGCAGTAAATGTGCTGTTTAATTTTTAAATATTTTAATTATATACCATGGGGGGGTCAGTGCTTTCAGATAAATAAAGCTAAACAAATTAATTACTTATTAACTGTTTTTATATGGGTGATCTATGAAGGAAGCGATAAACACTTGGTACATTAGACATAATTTACAATGACAACTCCTCAGTGGCGTATCTAGGGGATGCGGGGGCGGGGAGCGGACCCCTTCAATAAATTACTCGCCCCAATAATCACTTGCAAATAGTTAAAATCACTTAAAATCAACTTATTTGGCAAGTTAGCGACCCTGAACCTGATCATCGAGGCCCCCCCCCCAACTTCACGATAGGCCACTGCAACCCCTCCTAGAGACAGACATGGTTAGAAATAGAAAAGTGGTGGGATGATGCTTACTTTGGAAGTGGGGTGAAATCAGGGGATTTTCAATTACTTGGGTGTTATTTCCTTTTCAATGAAAAACATTTAAAAAAAAATTTGGCCTAAGAATGTAAATGTAACATCTTATGTGTCATAGATATTGGCTATGAGATGACAAAATGCTCCTTTGATAGAAGGAAAAACATGTATTTTTTTATTATCCAATTTTACACTACCTGATAAATATCATCATAAAATATTGACAACTTGTTTATTGGATTGTTGGCTGTCGTATATCACTACTGAACCATTTCGAAATTACCTTGCCTAAGAATTAATGCAAGTGTGAATTTAAAGATGTGTCCCTGTTGTTATGGATTTTTAAAGATGTGCTGCAAGTTACTGTACCACATGATCTAGACATCGGGGAAAATACTTTCAAACCCTTGGGCCTCTTACTTATCTGAATATTGGTTTTGATTGATTTGCAATACATAGTTACGTCTGCAGAGGAAGCTATTAACCCAACCATTATTTTAATTACATATGAGGGGCATTCTTTGGCATTTTGATATATGAAATTCATGTGTCCAACTGGAACTACAGAACTGGTCTCAGTGGCGTAACAGGGCCCGGGGGCTAGAAAATATTTTGGGGCCTTATGCATTTTAGAAGTTGTTTTTCGTAGTCGTTTACAACTATAGTGTCAAGGCTCTGTTAGAAAAGTTTTGTTTATTAGTAGGAGGGCCCGTCTGGATCTTCTCTGGACTGGGACCCAGGGCTTTGACCCCCAAGCCCATAGGCTTGGGGTCAAAGGCTTGTTAATAATTAGATTCGAATGAGGAATTGTATTCCCTGTGCATTTATGTCAGATAATAATGTTAACAGAATTTTGTAGAGATGTTTGCAAAAAAAATATGTTAGAAATATTCTCGTTCTACAAAAATCGTTTGGAATACCAAACTGCAACATTATTTTAACATTATAAGGCTAGGTGCATAACTTCAGTTGGCCAATTACATTCTGTTCTTATGTTGTAAATAGTTGTTCAGGCATTAAATTTAAGTTTTATGGGATGCCCTTCATGGCATTATTGAAGCAAATACATTTTGAATTAAGGGTAATCCTACTAATGAAACAACTCTTTTTCCAAAATTCAAGATTCAAGATTTATTTATTGGTCAAACAGTAAAAAATACATGGTTTGAAACTTTGGCTGATTGTACATAGGCCTACATGACTTTGTGACAATTACTAAAATAATAAACATCAGAATACACATTATTTATTAATATACTGATTAAAAACTAAAATTATAGATGACTTTTCATTAGCATACGGAATATTGAAGATATTTTTTTGGTTCAAACTTATCAATGTTATTACATGCTAAGTTATTTAACTGCATGCAATAAAAGCTTAGATTTCAAGTGCTCTGGGATAGAACCTCATGAATGACATCCATAAAGAATATTTAGTACGTGCTTAAATATGGAATAGGAACGTATGCCACAGTATAGGAAGTTGTCTTGATGGACTATCGGATCCTATCAACCTGTTTCCTTTTCTGTCATCCACTCAGAGTCATGATAAGGATCCTACTAGTTACTGTAATAAGTTGTGTTACAACTAAAGGCCTAGCACAAGAAGGTATACTGGATTATCATATGTGTATTGATACTGTATCACAATCATCAGCAATTAACATTTTGAAAAATTCATAAAAATATCCAAAAAAAAATATTACTTCCAACAAGAAACAAATTGAAAAAAGTTAGTTTTGCTGACATTTACTACATAAAATCCTTAAACTGATTACCAGCCAATGTCTATACAAAACAATATACGAAAGAATAATAAACTGTATGTTATTGACGTAGACATGTTTCCATTCAAATTTTAATTGCAAGTTAATAACTTACTTATAAAAAGGCAATTTGAATATGAAATTGAGTTTTTTCTAGTTTATGACAGTCAGAACATCCTTAACGTTTTATGCAATAACTCAACATGAATAATTCATTGTAGATGTTAATGCATACTATTGTTTAGATGTGAACTTGAGAGGCTTGATGATACAGCATTACTCATCTGAGTTTGGTATTTGTTGCGTGTTCACGTGAATGTGTTGTGCTGCACTGTTCCACTCACCGGCTCACTCACTGCCCTGGAAGGTGACTAATGCCAAAGATGCCCTTTTCATGTCCTCTCTTGAATAAAAAACAAAACGCTCAGAATTGTTAAAAGCATATATCCTATGTTCAGTAATTTAAATTAGAATTGTTTCTCGAAGGCATAATCAAGGATTCACTGAAAAAGCACCGGGGGACTCTGAGAAGATTTTATTCTCGATTGTGGAAGACTGCATTTAAAATGATGTTTTTTGATACAACAGGATGTTGAGTATACAGAATATCTAATTCCAGAATGTTCACCTTTGAGCATTATCTACCATTCAGTGCTCATGATTTGTTTAACATAATATTTGCAATGACCTACTACTTTTAATATGATTTACCAGTTACTTATATTATCAGTCTTAAATTGGTAGCAAAGGGAAATTAATGGATAAACTAGTCATCAAACTTCTTTTAAGCAGTCCTTCACTGATTCCTCCGAAAGCATTGGATTGTATTTTCAAGATCATCAGTGGCAACAGATTAATTGAATAGCTTTGAACATGAAATAATTATATCTTCTTTATATCATTTGAATGTGAAAATAGACAGTAGGTCATCATACAGTATAAATCTGGAATTGTACAATATACAAGATGAGCATTTATATTTTAAAAACACATTGTGGTGACAATGAGATGTTTTCATCAGACGGCCAGAAATAAAAATGATTATCAATTAAAAAAAAAAACAAACACATACAACTATACATATTTGATTCATGTACAGTATAGGCCTACAGTATAAGCATTATGTGCAAAGTGTTGATTCAGCTGATAAGGACAATGATTAAAATGATTGCGATTATGACAAAGAAATGCTTGAAGATAATAATGATAATAATTCAGCATTCTTGCAGGGACATAGGAAGCATCGGTAGAGCTGCTTTTAAGTAAGAAACGCTTGAATTATCTTTTGAGCAGCAGACTTTGTTTAACGATAATTTGAGTATTTGATTGTTTTTATGTCTGGTCAACGTAAATGTAATGGGTGTTGTCTCAATTTCTTAAGCTACAACACCAAACCTCTATTCCAATAATGTTTGACACAAATGTATTATTTAACACAGGATATATTTATTTAGTATATTAATCTTTTTCACTGGTCAACATATATAATTACACTTCTCTAAAGCATTGAGCCCAATTAATTATTTAACAAATCACTCTCACCTGGGCCCAGCTTATGTTATTAAAAGAGTGAATTACAGTAAGGATGTATTTTTATATAATTGTCCTAGGGGTGATATATAATTATAATCATAATTTTGTAGGATCGGCTCAAACGCCTGAGGTGCTTAACCCTTACACCTATTGGGGGAAATGCCTATTCAATGGTAAACTGCTGCCGTGCTCCAACCCTAACCCAAAAAATAACTTCAACTGACATGCTTCACCCTAATGCCTATATTCGCAAACACCTGACGTGCCTAACCCTAACGCCTATCGTCACAAATCCCTGACGTGCTTAACCCTAACGCCTATCGAACCCTAACTCAAAACCTTAACCCAAAAAATAACCTCAACAATGCGTATCGTCGCAAACGCCTGACGTGCTTAACCCTTATAAAATAATACTGCATAGCAAAAATGGCAATAATTGCTTCACATAGCAATCCAAAGCACATCAAAAATAGTTTATTTGCTACAGTAAACATATTGCTATATTTTGTGAAAAGGGTCATATTTTACTGCACTATTATAAAGAGGAGGCACATAGCAGGCTGAAGCAACCCAAAAATAGTACATAGCAAAAATAGCAACAATATCAGCTAGTTGTTAAAAGGGTGCTATTTTACTGCTTTTATAAAGAGGAGGCAAATAGAAATCTGAAGCGACACAAAAATAATACATAGCAAAAATAACGACAATAACAGCTAGAGCAATGTGTCGGATCATTGTGTATCCAAAATAACAGCACTGTGAAGCGAGCAGAAATGCTGCATAGGAAAAATAGCAAAAATAGCTTCACATAGCATTCCAAAGCAACCCAAAAATAGTACATAGCAAATATAGTGACAATAGCAGCTAGAGCACTGTGTTAGATCCAATATTAATAAATCACAGTGCTATATTACTGCTATTATAACCTATTAGAAGATGTAGCTACTTTACATATTGATATATTTTGTGAAATGCAAATATAGCACATCAAAAATAGTTGATGTGCTTGAGCAAACATATTGCTATATTTGGTGAAAGAAATAGGCGCTGTACATATCACTGCTATTATAAGCTATTACAAGCTGCAGCTCATGAGTGGCTACTACCATGCTTTTAAACGCTATTTAATGCTATCAATAGCTATAGCTGACAATATAACTATCATAAAATAGCAAATATAGCACACTCAAAAATAGTTGATGTGTACAGCAAACATATTGCTATTATTGCTTTATTTTTTGAAATGGGTGCTATATTACTGCTATTTTAAGCTATAGCTAACGACCAGCTACTACCATGCTTTTAAATGCTATTTAATGCTAGCACCAATCTTGCGCTTCAGGTCCCCTTTTGGCGCTACTGCTTTTGTATGAAAATATAAGACAGATAGATTAAACTTCTAGCTACACTTCAATGTCCTAATAAATGCTATGTGTTGATTGGTTGGTTTCTAGATAGCATATTAATTATTAGCGACATTATTTTACTTGGGATGGGAGAAAGAGGAGAGGCAGTGTGCGTGGATGGAGCAATGTGTTTCCAATTTTAAAATGCATTGTTTATAAATGTGACCTACATACCTGCAGCACATCTTAAATCTCTTTTTTTATCCAGGTATTGAATTACATGTATTTAGGTATCAGTCAAATCCAGAGAATGTGCTTAAATGTAATTAGGAAAGATTTTTATGAAATTTAATTTAATCTCAATTAAGATTCATAGACAATTTGGAAAGCATGGCCAGCATTTGTGGTGTATTTTGAAAGATGGATAGTTGATGTGAAAGTCATGTGAACATGGGACATTGGCTGGAATAGACAGCTCTTTATTTCAAGAATAGAGTCTTATTGTTGATGTTGTTGTCATCATTGTTGTTGTTTTTAGTTATTCGTATTATTTAAACAAAATGTTTTTACTATTACTTATTAAGTTTTACTGGTTCTTATAAAAAAAATGTATTGTTTGGGAAAGTAACAAATAAACATTAACAGGAATTAATAAAATTGATAATAAATCATATTTTTGTTTTATAGAACTTGACATATGAAATTTTTCTTAAACTCCTACTTAAGGTTTTTGAATATTTTAATGGATCTGGAACTGCAATTCTTTTTTTGAGGTTAATAAAATAGATTGAATAAATTATATTGCAGTCTAATGTGAATGCAATTTTATACAAATAAAGTAAATATATCAGCAAAAATGATACAATATAATGTAGGCCTACTAAAAAAAACAATGAGAAGCCTATCTGATTCAATACAGTATTTCACTCCTGAACTAAGTTTGTAAAAGAAAACAATTTTTCAAGGGGAATGCAACTGTTAGTGATGAATTGAACTCCTCTGGTACCAATAGTTGTCGGAACTGAAATGAGATCATCAAGGAACTCATCCTAATGGAACTTATGCTACTGTAATTGAAATTGATATTTATGGAATGCAGATTTATAGAGGAGAAATGTTTCCCTATGGATACAGTCGGTCATAATGGAATCAATATTTGATACATAAAAAACCTATTTTTAATTAAATTCATCCTAAAGGAAATGTAACATTTCTGCAGAAATTAGACGAATCCCATAAGAATATAGATGAATTTCTTATCTTTTTTTGATCAATCAGATTGCCTGGATCATTTATAAGGAGGAGAAAGTGCAACGATGTAGAACAGAGGGGAAAAGGACAACAAACTGTGAGGGAGAAAGGAGGGTGAATTATATCAGCAAGATTAAGATTGTATAATTAATTGCATATCAGGTCATTAGGTCTATGCTAATATAATAAATATGGATTAATTTATTCAGATCACTAATTATACTGGCTAAGGCATAATTGTCTTCAACATTAGGATGATGTTAACATCAATGGTATACATTTCCAAATAAATTACAAGAATAAGAATTAGACCTACAGCTTAATCATCCTTTCAGAATGTCCAGCCGTGTTTATTGTGCACAAATAATTAAAAACTTAATAACAACAAACATCTATATCACAGGAGTGGTGGCAGATTCAAATATCTTAAAATTATTTAAAAAAATTGAGATAAAAGAAAATTATATTAAAATTAAAGTCTGAAGTGATGACTAGTTACTTACTAAACTTATTACTGAATTTAAAAAATGGACAGATTTAATGTACCAGCATCATTTAACCATAGTGGAATTTATATATTTCTGTGCTTTATTATTATATGATTTCCAAATTTTCCTTATTTTATATTAAGAGACTTCACTTCCACAATTTGTTTTCATTATTTATTCTGGGTTACTTCTTCAGTACTGTTCTCCCATAGGGCCTGTATACAACATTAAAATCACAAGAAAACTTTACATCACTTATAAAAGATACTTAAAATTGGAGGTGCAGGGGCGAATCCAGAATTTTTCAAACAGGGGACATTTTCAGAATAGATAAGTGAGCAGCACTAATTTCAATATATGCATTAAAATTTTTTAATTTAGTGGCAAAACAGGGGGGGGGGGGAGGATTGTGCCCCCCCCCCAATTGATCTGCGCCTGAGGTTTAGTGGTAGATTTGTTTAGGCAATGAGCAATAGTAAGGGCTGTTGTAAAATTAGTGCTTGTCTTCCTGAAAGTAAGTTTGGTGGAAAAGATCAAAGATTCTCTGTACTTTAATGTATACAATACTGGCATATTTTTCTTAATTACCAAGTTTAACATTTAGCAACACTATGCTGGTTTTAAGATGGCATGCCTCATCATATACAGTAAGTTGAAACATTTTAAGTAAATACTTATCCACATAACAGCGAGTGACTCGCCACTAACAGGATTAGTCTCATTCTCAGGCTTAGAAACATAATTAAAACTTCAGCTTGATTTCCAGCAAAAACCTCTTGATAAATTCTCTGTGTAGGAGCCACATACAGTAGGCCTACATTGTGCACATGAATACACACATACAGCGAAAACATATTCAATTTTGTACCTGTTGAGGAGCGTGATACATGACTTACCCGAGTGCCATGCAATGATTTTGATATATTGGAACTTTTAAGAAAAAAAATTCTCAATGCTTTTAAAACTAATCAATATCAGGATGTGACAAAATAAAGCTAATTATATTGCTAGTTCACAGATCTAGGTTTTCCAGTTATGTCAACCAATAGTAATGGTCATATATTTTAAAGCGCATACTACAATATCGTTTCTATGTGCTGAAAAACCCAAGCAGAAGGTTCTGATGGGGAAAAATAATAATGTTTTCATGCCTTTCATTATAAAATTTTAATTTTCTTTAAATTTGTTTATGAATATAACTCATTCAAATTATTAAATAAGGCTCACATTTTGAATCATTCACTGTGTAAAGGCATGCCGTGATCCATTTAGTTGGGTAAATCATAGGATGTTTTCATTATTTAATCCCCCCAAAAAACCCCCCTGCTCTCCCAGGATTTGAACCGAAGACCATAAAATTGAAGCTAGCACCACAACTAATCTACATTCCAATTACACTGTAATTACTGCTTATATACAAACTGTCATCAGCAAACATGCAAGGTAGTGATCCTTGTATTACTGTAATTGATACCTCGCCAATAGTACTTGCCAAATTAAAGACCATAAATAGTAAAGGTATAATTAAAAAGAACCCAGGAAATGCTTGATTATTCAGAATGTAGAACATGTGGATTAATGGATGGATAAATCTTTAATATCAGTCAAGTTTGACGTAATTGAAAGATACAAACTCTGCACTGTAATTTGTTCTTTTTTGAGGGAAAAAATGATGCACAAGCCTAAACCATTTTAGTTTGGATTATCAAAAGAAAAAGAAATAACTTCAAGGAATTAAGAGTATTGAAATGGGGTTGAGGTGCAAAGGTTAAATGGGAGGGCTTGATTATTAAGTGAGGGGGTCCTTGGTAGCTAAATAAGGTGATGAGTTGATTTTGTGCAAGCTTTTTTGGAGGGTTGGGAAAAGTCTACTAGATTTATGATGTATTTGATTTTTTCCAATGATCTTGTATTTGTATTATATTATGTTCAATTGGATTTATTCGGTGTAAACACCAAGGATAGCCCACAAAAGTCTAGAAGAAGACTTATTTCCAGTGGGGTCCTTCTGGTGGTGATTGGACAGTACACCGGGAGACAATCCCCTACTCTTTTCCGAATAGTGTACTGCGTTCTTTTAACATGCACATGAGTCATAAATCACACAGGACCAACGGTTTAAACGTCTCATCCGAAAGATGGTGCGCTATTGTAACTTGTATTTCAGCCCTCCAGCTGAAACCAAGGAGAGGCAGCGATGGGAATTGAACCGGGGACCTAGAGATCTCCACAGTTCAGCGCACACAAAGTGGCTACCACCAAATTAGCCAACTGAGTTAAGCTGCTCTAGGTGGTTATTTGATCATAAAATACATGGTGATTCTTATGGTTCAGTCAAGCAAGAAGTAGAGGATGTACAGTACAATATCATTTGATCAAAATATCAATGTAAATATTTTACAAATATTACTGAAAAGTTTGAACTACCGAACTTATGTAAAGTCATGCAAATAATCTGAGTGTGAATTAAAATGTAAAAGCTTGTAAAATCAGCACTATAATTAAATATCTGTCACTTTCTTACATAGTTTATCTTGAAATTTCATTACAAATAGAAGTAGGACATTGACACAAATACCATGATTAAATGTTAACTTTAATAAAGTAATTAACATCTTCCCCTTGTATTAAAGCTAATGTTTCCTGATTGTTTGCAGTGTAGAAAGAGAGTGTGAAATCTACATTTTATCATCCCTTTTTTGACGCAATGCTGTCCTTGTCAATTCATAAAAATACAGCACTTTTTATGACTCACTGATTCTGACTCTGAAACTGGAGATGACCTGTTTCCTCCTTTTTTTTTATGTTACCCAGAGATAATCATAAATGTGTTACAGCAAGCCCCTGGAGAATATCCAGGTCCTTTCAAGCTTATAAAGTAGTTATTTTTTTTATATTGTTTTCCTCATTTTCTTGCTACGGTACATCAAGTGTAATTTTGAAATGTATGTTTCTCTACAATCCAGCCCTGTGTGTGTGCCGACCAAAAGTTCAAGAACCAAAATAACCATGTGTTAAGCTGACTGATAATCTTGCTTTCTCAGTTCACAACTTGCTTTGCAAAGATGATCATTGCATTCTATTTCGATAAAGTTTTGACAGAGGGAATTTAAGTTTAATTGATGTTCTGTACTTTTAGTTTTCAAGCTCACTGCTCTTTTGATACAGTGTCAGATAATTTTTAAGTATGGTGTTCAGAGAAGACAAACTATCCTTTCAAATTTTACATATTTCAAACAAAATAAATGTTATTAAGGTTATCAAAGTAAATTTAATTACTGATTGAATTGCTATTAAAACACTTGAAAAAAATATCCAATTTGTTATCCTATTTTAGTAGATTTGATAAATATGATATATGATTTAGTGGATATGAACATAAATATCAATACAGTACAATAATGGATATAAAGTTTTATTTTTTTTTGTTGAAAAATTAAACATTTTTTTTTACAATCAATGCACCTCATTTCACATGCCTTATGGCTGTTTTCCACTAGGCTCACATGAATCAAAAGCGTTGGTTCGCTTCCTGAGTTCATTGGCGCAAATAAATCCGCCTAGCGGAAAACTTTAGTGTACATACAGAGCAAGTCTGTTGGTCTCTCAAGTTTGTTGAAAACTTATTACCAATAATAACTTAAGTTTATTGTTATGCTTAAATTAAATTATAATTAACATGGATATTCCTAAATTAAAACTATGGCTGGGTTGAATTTTCTAAAAGTTATATCTATAGTATTTTTTCAATTATAATCAAACTATATATTTATATTATATTTATATATTTATTTTATATTTATACATATTTAAAAGCTGAATGAGTTTTCTTTTAATACAGTACATAATGACTTCATATTAATTTCAAATTTCATTCAAATTTATATTGAATTTACTACAACTTTGTAAAACTAATATATTTTGTATTGAAAGTACATTTCAGAAGAAAGAAAAAAGGTATCTAAATTTCCTGTCAAGCTGATATAACAATAAAAATAATGCATAATAGAGTACATCATGTGACTAATAACTTGATAAGTAAACCATTCATTGGACGTTTATAACATCTACGGATAGATCAATATATTGTTGACTTAATTGAGGATCTTAAAGTGCTGAGTTGTTGCTGCCGGTTCTAGTGGAAGATTGTAAGAACAGGGTTTGCTCTGTGTTTGCTCATCGACAATTTAATATTAATCAGAGTGATAATAATCAGTAAGGGATAGGCCTTTCAGTGCCATGCCCCGTTAATGATAGCAATATGTTTGCTAGGATAAGTTTTTCATCAGTAAATCAATCAACGCAAGCTATATTGAGCCTTTCTGGGTTAATATTGATGGCCTGCTGACTCTTGGATGACTCCTAAACTCTCATAGGCTTACATTTTCCCCAATTAATTATTCCCTTTGGAATAGTACAACTGACCTTTGATATATATTCTTACTTTAGTGGATATAACCTTGTACATCTCATACAATTTACAGCTATCTCCCATACAGTTTAGCTATCTCTTTTATTGGTACATAGTACTCTTTCTTCTAAATGTTTCACTAAGCTAGGGTTCCAAGTTGGAAGAAGCCACTTCCAGGAGATAAAATGAGCTTTCTTAATACCATCTTACTACATTTTGCTGTGCATTGATATCCACCACCAGTTCACTTTTACAATGATGATACAGTTGTAAAAGCATGCAAATAATTTTTAGTTACTTACAGGAGCTTGTCAGGTCATCCCGATTTTTGGAAGACTTTGGACACTCTGATTTAAGATGTGAGACATGACCTACTAATTAGTGCACCATGGTATTTACTGTTAGAGCCACACTCTCAAAATATTGTTGAATAAATAATAAATATATAATGAAGTAATTTCTTGTACTGTAATTTTGCTTTCATAAGACCAATAAAGGTTCTGTATTCTGTATGATACATCTGAATTTATAATATTTAGGTTTTTTTGGTATCAACTACTTACATTTAACTTTGTTATCTAATAACTCTGATGAATTACAAGAAGACTTTTTTTTAATAGGATGATGTTTCTAAGAGGCCACACAATGGGACAGATTTGAAGAGGTTTCTAAAAAATCGAAGTAAGTTACTAATGCTATAATACAACACTTAAAATTACATTAAAGCACACCAATAGCTTCCATTACCCTGTGAGAAATCCCCAACTTAGGCCTACTGTAAATTAGAACTTATAATATTTGTTTTCCAAATAAAAAATTCACACTCATCATATAGTTGTCAAAGTTTATTAAATAGATTACATTTGATGTGTCTGCTGTTCTCATTTCCTAATCACTTAATTTTGGTTGATTGATTAAATTTATTTTTACAACAACAATTCTACGCCAACTGACACATAATCCTAGATGCATCATGGCCGATATCTGTTTTTTTTCCTCATAATTTTTATGAAGGCCGCAATTTAAACATTTTTGGAAACATCGTAACTGATGTATCTTGACCATTAGATAGATAAACAGTTTCTTCAATAAAATTCACATAAATATGAATCTTTGCAGCAAAGCTGAATTGCGATGGTATTCAAAATAGTTATAAAATAGAACAATAACATGCGAAAGATAACAGAAATGGACAAAACATCAAATTACATTTTAGAAAAAAAAACATTCATTTTAGAAACATCAAAATTCAATTATTATAAGATTAATTATTTCATCAATATTATTTACAAAAAATAAAATTTGAATTCAGAAAATAAATTATTTCATCAAGATTATAAAAATTACAAACTAGTGCACACAGCTATCACCTATCTATGAATAGGTGGTACTTTCATATTATTCTGTGATGCATCATGCATTAAGGTGTTACTATATATGTCATAATGACTAACATTTATCACAATTACAATTGAGTTACTGATCCTATAAAGGATTGATTGTTCAATGAATTACGCTGATGATCTATGTTGTATATAATCTATGATTGTGTGAACATGTTCCGGTCATTCCACGTTTCTCCTTGAATCAAATTCCTTTAATCTCAAGTAGGAACAAAACATCTGTTGAAGCATTTGTTAATGTCTTAATAAAGTTAGCGAAGATTATTGACATACATGACAAATTTCAAGAGTCTCATTGTCGGTTCTCTTTTAAGAATTCCTAGTCATTTTGTTCTTTAGCTGGTCATTTACTGTACCATAAAAGAGATCATCTGTTTGCCTAGCTCAGCCAAAGCTACACGTTGCTTCTTGCTCCAATCTGTTGGAGGTGAGCTAGTTCTCTGGCCTAAATTATTAATAAATAAAAATACACATTATTTGTTAAAAACAAAAGTGTGTCCTTGGGAAGCTGGTGTTTCTGAATTTAGCATACATAATTAGTTTATTGGTCACCCATAAAGAAACAAAATACAAATTATTGTGAAAATTATAACTGAAATAAATTACTTACGAATAGCTCCAAACTACAGTACCATATAGACTTGCCAAACGTCTATTATTCTTTTTTTTTTCTCATTCTGGACAGCAAAATTAATGAGCAAGTTAATTTATAGACGGAATCCAAAAAAAAAAATTGAGTATGGACGCCAATTAAATTTGGTATGGCGCGCTCTAAGCGCAATAAAGAGTGAGTAACCCCACAATTAGGGCCTCGAACCCGTGCTGATTACAATATTGTGGGACAGTTCATCTTTCACTAAACTTGATCTATTGCCTTTTTTTAAAGTAGGTATCAAATATCCTACTAAGTAGGCATACTTACTTAGCCTAACCCTAAGTCAAGTGGGTATCCTTGTAACTTATTTACTCTCTGATCTTCTAGAGTCAATTTAACTTTCAAATATTTGTTTGTAGGGCCTAATATTATGGTTAATAAACCAGCTCATATATTATACAAGTAGCTACTATTCATTGTCAAATTGTTTGAAAGCTGAAGGGTGTAGCCAAGCTAACTGACGCCTAGTGCACAGACACATGGCCACATCAATATTTCTTGCTGCTTTGTTGACTGAAATTATTTTGGCCATACTGGGGCCATGACGATGACCACCTGAGTGTGCCCACTCATCACCATTGAGGAAATATGCCAAACCACTATTTTTGTTACACTGAAAGGGCTTTATATTATAAACCATTACATTTTATTTAAAAGGGTTTATTCATTCAAATCATTTCAAAAAGTTTTAAACTAGAAACTGTATCGACTGCTTAGTGTTGTTTTCTTATGGTACACTGTAGATCATAGGCTTAGCCAGCAAGCCGTCCAGCCGCCTTTTGGACGCCTACAATTATTTAGGACGGCCACTTTTAACGTGATGGCTTGGCTTAATCAGCTCGGCCTAGCCTAATTGGGCTTGGTACCAATGGCAAATTCTTTATATTCTTCAAATCTTTCAAATTTCCATTAAACTAAAGCTAAATCATATTTACGTTTGATAAAAACAACCTTTATTAGTTGAATGTACATTGTTTTCATACCAATATTCAGTGGTAATACCCAAAAATGTCCTCTAAAGATCATAGTTTTCTACTTTTTTTTCCCTTATGTTTTGGAAGGGCGTGGCCCTGAGTGGGAATGCCTACTGGCTGCCATGCTGGACAGCCTATTTCGTTTTTCTGGATAAACCCTTGCTGTAGATCAAACTGTCTTGTTATATTAATTTTGTTATATAATATTATTATCAGACCGGGCGGAGAAACTTGCATGTCGTGGTGTTGACTGCAGTTCCGGGAGACAATGTGCTCTTGATGATGCTGGGCAGGTCACATGCATTTGCATTAAGGTAGGAATTAAGTATTAAAATAACCATCAAGATGTATTTACTAATTACTTATGTTTTAGGCTAAGTTATAATAATAATAATAATATTTATTCGGCAAAGTAAAAAGTATACATACAATATTCTTGCCAGGAGTATATTAATAGGCATAAGCCCAAACAGTAAACTGCTCTTACTCCATCATCAAAAACAAATACAATGACAATACAATATAAATATATACAAAAAAGTAAATTCAAAATAAATTGATTTAACTATAACAAAATTAAGTTGCAATCCTTTACAAGACAAACATACAAACGAGAAGCCCTACATTAACAGTCTCATTATACTGTAGGTCTTAGAAAGTGGAGTTATTTTTGGGGTCTTGAGAAAAAAATCCTATCAATGTGACGAGAATTGAACCCAGAACCCTGAGACTGGAAGGTGTGCAACCACCAAGCAGGAGCTTCACTGTATATATTAGTACTATATTAAGTTTTGCTCATTTGATTTTCATAATTGAAATTGTGTGCATACAAACGTACACAAAAAATGTACCTGTTAATATGACTGAAGACCATATGAACTATACCTACAGCAGAGAATTCTGAAATACTAATACAGTCTGCAGATTTACAGTACTCTTCCAAAAAAAAAAATGATGAGATAGTGTAAATGCACATTGAGCAAGTTTGATCTAATTGATAAAATATGGTATACTATTGTATTAGGCATCTTTTACTGACAACTATTAGTTTCCAAGAGGATGTACCGTAATTATTTGGAATTTATTTTTAACATCTAGTGGGACATACTACATTAGGCTTATATGCAACTTGGGGTTAATAGGTTTAAGCATCTGAGTTTTAGCAGTCACCATTGAGATACAGAAATGTCCAAGTGGATAAGTGATCCATAGCCCTCTGGGATCTGATCAATCTAAAGCACTCCAATTAGAAGATACCCCATGCACTGACCTAGCTCTGGCCAGCAAGGAGAGGGAAATGTAGGCCTATGGGAATGCCAGTTATCTATCCATCAATCAATTAATCAATTAATCCACTAAAAGTGATAGGCCTACACTGGAAATTAAATCAATCAATCAATCCTTAATGAAGACAAGGCTCTATCCCACCCTTGCCCACACTGTGATTTGCAGTGCAACAAGCTGCCTACATGATACTCAGCCTGTTTGAGTGGGCATGGAGACCTTTTCATAGAAATCAAAATATATGTTTTAAAGGGGAAATTAAAGACTGAAAGAAACTAGAAAAGGATTGAGCAATTTCAAGTACTGTAAGACTAAAAGATACCAAAATGAGGCCATAATAGATTTCAAAACTATCTTTTCTCCAGCCCCCACATACTTGATTAAATAAATTAAATAAATAAAATGAAAATTAAATTAAATAAATAAATAAAATAAATTACTCAAATTATTAAATAAATAATAATAATAATTATTATTATAAATTATTTCTTTCCCATTTCATGTCTTTCTTTTACTGCATGCTCACTGTCTGGGAGTTCCAGTTTCTACAAACATATTTTACCATTACCATTTATTAATGTACCTTCATTCCAAATGAATTTGTTCAAAGTGTTTACAATTTATATTCACACCCTAACGATAATAATTAATTTCTTAATAAGAAGTATTATTTTCAGTATTAATTATAAATCTAATTTCCATAGTACAATAATGTTTCAAGTATTCTATACTAAGGCTCTTTCAAAATTGTATTTAATAGGTCAAACAGTTTTTCTACCTTTAACCAATGGCAACTCTTGTAATAAAATACAATTACAAAACCAATTATTGGATTTAATTGCCTGGAACTGATTGATGATTTAACAAGTAATAAGTGTGGTTGACATAAATGCCAGTCCCCAGATGTCTCATTAATTTGTACACATTTTAATACATGGTCTCAATGACAAATCTGGAAAAGCTCTAAACTTAAAAACAATACAATGCTCATCTAAAAGATCAAGCAAGTTATTAACTTCCAATCAGGCAGAGATCAAAATAATTCAAACTAATTTACAGACTCTAATATTAAAAAAATAATCAAATCCACTATGAGCCGATTTAAGAGTGTGTGTAAGGTCTGATAACTGGTGGGAAAAATAATGTTTAAAACCTCCAAGTAAAAGCTAAAACTTACTTTACAATTTACAAAGTCCAAATTCAATCTGAACAATAAATGAATATTAACTCATGATACAAACTAAGGACAATGAAACTAATAAATATTCTTCATTTTCTAGAATTATATATTAGAAATTCATTTCTACATATGCGACATCAGGATTTAAGTGGTTAAATGTTTTACCGTCAAAAAACTGCCCAAATATAGAACAAGTTATCAGTTTTGATATGACAGAGATGACATTGATCTACATCTTTTTGGAAAATTAATGGTATATTATTTTTAAAGCATTTTATAATTCCCAACTTGATGGTAATTAAAGAGTTAAAAAGTTATTAAAAGAGGCCAAATTGGGTATTTAATTGCCACAAGAACATGTTAAAAATTTGTATATTTATGCATAATACACCCAATGGAACACTGCCATTAATGCAAAGGTTGTAGGTCATTCCATTGAGATTCTTGGTACAATAATGTTGTAACTAGAATTGTTTGTAATTAATGTTCATTAAATGCGCACATATCAAAAGTGTTTTCATATTACACAAATGTACATTAATAGTTGGTGCGTCCATACAGACATATCAAATTTATTAGCAATGCATTTTAATAACCAGTGCAATTCAAAACCTTAAAATAACAAAAAAGATATGACCTTCTTATTCTGACATGATTTTGAGCTCCCCACACCCTTTCAAGGTAATTACAATGGAAGGCTTGATAGGAAAAGAAGGGAGACTACTTTTGGTATTATCAGAATTTCATTACAACTTTCAGTTCAGACAAAAGTTTATAAATTTATTAGAATCAGAAACAGGCAATTCTAATTTATACTTATTTATAGTGCACTTACAAAGTGTTCTGTTAGCGCATTAAGTTTTTTTATTTATTTTTTTTATAAGGGATGGAGGCCTATGTAAGGTCAATAAATGTCTTGACCAAGTGTCTGGAACCAACAAAATTTTTTTTTTTTTTATGAACCTTCAAATTCTTCATCTATTGCTGAAACACAGCGAGAAACACTTTACAACCCTTATGAGGCCGGGGGCCTAGAATGGTTGGCCTAGAATGGTCAGCGTTTCATTCAAACTTCAAACTACAAAGTCAGGAATTAGAATGGAAACCACCGCTAAATTAATATTTATATCATCATCACAATTCCATTCAAGATTTGATTTATTGTCCTACAAGTACAGTACATGAATTTGTTTTCCTGAAGTTATTATTTCTATTGAGTACATTATGAGCCGACCCTTGTAAATGTACTTCAATTTAAAACGAATTTTATAAATGACAATAAAATTTTGAATACTGAACTGAATACTGAAGCTTGGAATACTCAAAATATAATATACAAATTTTCCATATTTCTTTTTTCAGAAATGTTCCAAGAATGATCGTCCAATTTGTGCAAGTAATGGACAGACATTCCGCAACAAATGTGAGATGCATCGTCACGCATGCATTGCTGGGATACAGCTGTCAAAGAACCATAGCAAACCCTGCCTCGGTAAAAATTAATATACTTTCCATATAGTTGTGATTTTATGTAATTAATCATGTTTGATAAGTTACACTCTCACAAACAAAATTTGTACAATGTGCATGTAGTTGAAAAACCTACTAATCCAACAAAAGGCATTGGTCAACCTATTTAATGTATGCATTCTCGTTAGAAGCTGGCGGTTGGTTGACACATACTAACATGTTTATAGTCAAAAGTAAGAAAAAAAATACTATAGTAATACTTCTTTAATAAAGGAGGCACGGCTCTCCTTTCTTATTTGGTTTCAGGTTTTAAATATCAAATTTTTATGCTAGTAACTGAGAATATAGGAAAAATAAAAAATTACAAGTGTTTGTGTATGAGAAGTAGGATTGCAAGGTTGGAAAAACAAATTTCAAAGATTTAAAATAGAAACAGCGCAAAAAGTAAGGTGGTATAAAAAAACCAATACTTTTTTAGACATGGCCTTACTATTCTATAGTTAAATTTGACTATGAAAACTGCAATATAGTTGCTCACAATGATGCTTGCATTATTTACAACTTTAAACGATATACCAATGAGATACTAGTTAAACTGGTAAAATAAATGTAATTATTAATAATTAGAGTATAATAAAGTTTAATAGTAAGTGGAGCAAAATTAACATGGACAGCTTAGAATTCAACCACTGTCCAGACATTTAGAGATCCTCCAACATGAAGTATAATGGATATGCTTGCAGAATTTACCTGAGTACAACTCTAAAGGAATTACCAATAAGATACTAGTTACATACTTTTATTGTGAAAATGAAAATAGTTGTAATATTGATAACAATGTTAAATAGAAGTAGAAAGATGGAGTGCTTTGGAATCGAACCACTGTCCAAATGAGTTAAGGCAAAGATGGAGTGCTTTGTAATCGAACCACTGTCCAACTGAGTTAAGACGAGTCTTTTTTTATACCTTGTTTAGCGAACCCGATGCCAGCAATAATGGTTTCGAGTAAAATAAAATTTTGCTTATGTCCAATATGTATATTTCTTCCTAGTTAGATAAATTTAAAGCATTTAACCATCACATTACTACGCTATTTACATTCAACAACAAAAATTTTATTTATATATTCTCCTCCATCTGGATGTTTTTGGCAAAACCATTTGCAAAATAAGAAAACAAAGTTTTATTATATTCTTTCGCCATCCTCTGACAATCTTTAAAAAAATAAGTCTGTATACAAAAGTCTCACCTAATCTGGCTTAATCAGTATTTATTCCAATAGTCCTTCAAAACCAAAAACCTTTATTATCAGTATCAATATTATCTAATTATTTTTAAATAGGAAACCAATATTTGATGTTACTTACGCTATTTATTATAAGTATTATTATTATCAGTATCGGTATGGTTCCTGATATTGCATTATGTTATACTGGTAGGCATAAGGATTTGTTCCCTTTGTTTCTTACTAGTGCTAATTATGAATTAGTCAACCATCTTATACTGTTGTTGCATGAGAAACAAATTTAAATTCCCAACTTACTTAAAAAACCCTCTAAAATAAATTAATAATAACTAGACAATTGCCTTAAATCTGAGAACAAGTTATTGCAAATAAAAGTCTGAATGATGTATTGGGCTTTTGAGAGTTACACTAAATCCTTTGATCCAATAGAGACTAGCGCTGTTTTGAGCATTTGATTATGTAAGCTTTTCAGATCAAAGCAATTCTAGGATACTGTCAAACAATAAACAAGTGAAAAAGATAATTACGAATGAGTATAGGCATGATGATATATTACTTGATGGAAACAAAATGAAGCGATATAAAAAAGTAATTTTACTTTCTGACATTTCATCAAAATTTAATAGGTGAGTTTGTGTGAAGGCAAAGTGAATAACCCCGGTTTTGTAGCTCCCTTATTATTCAGCCTTAGGATTGGAACCCCTGGATCAAGCCATGGGTAGTAACTACTCTTTACAGTGCATGTTAAAGCCCCTGAATCTTTTGTATTCAACAAATTTAAAGTTTTGATTTCACCAAAGATCCAATATGAAAAATAGTTATGAATGATTTATTGTTGAGTTATTTTTATAAATAACAACTGGCTTTTAGCCCTGTATTTAAACAAGGTTATTGTATGGTTATGAGCAGGATGAAAAAGCAAAATTAAATGAGGTCATTCACCTTATAAAATTATGCATTTGTAAGTACATGGCATAGTTTCCACTATATAGGAGCGCTCATTCTAAACCAATACATTGGAAGTCGAAAATCACCATTCTTTTGAGTTGTATATGAACTTTTAATCTAGTGTCTGGTCATTTTCACTGTAATTAAATAATAATGAAAATTAATATGACACTTAAAGATACAGTGACTTTATTGCCTGTTTTATTTTAATTATGAAAAAACTTAATTGATGGTCACACATGCAGGCAGTAAAAAACGAGGTCAGTTAATAGACCTACAGTAAATATCCGGGGGTGTGAGTGAGTCAGGTATGTGAGGGGTGAAATCATTGAACCCCTGTCCACCAGTGAGACCTGTAATATCTAAAATGATAACATTTCCAGGATCCCGGTTTTTTTTATTTCCAGTATTTTGTTTTTTGACTCCCAGGTCTAACGTTCATACTTATAGGTAGGCGTAATCTTATTTTGTTTAAAAAAATCTTAATTGCTTCCTGGCCTGCATGAGCTTCGCATTGAAACTATTATTAAGATATATTGAAATGCAAGTCTCAGCGGTTTAGTTTTAAAAGTAACAAGCAAAACATAAAAAATCTCATAAGAACCGATCATTTGTCAGATGTTTGTTGCACAAGGAAATTTTCATTGCAGAGCCTGAATCTCATCAACTGATTACCAAAAAGAAAATCCGACCAATCGTATGCTATGAGAACGATCGTGACACCATTCATGAGAAAATTGTAGAATGGATTGATTCTTTAACGGTTGAAACTGCCAAAAACAAGTTCCAAATAATCCAAGACAAATTCATGGTATTAAATGGCTTTTATCTCTTTTTACATATGTTTGCATTTTGTGGCATTTATTTCTACACAAACTTTATTGGTATTTTTGTTTTGTATCTTTAATCGTGTTAATATAATTGATATTATTAAAGCTTTTGAAATATATTCTTGCCTAGACGTTTGATTCTGATTTTGACGGGACACTGAACTCAGCGGAATTTCAAACATTCATAGAAAGTAATGAGGCTGTTAGCGTCATCACAAACATTACTGACCCTGAGGAACAGGATGCATATTTAATAAGGTAGTTGCACTCACCAAATTACCAATAATATTCATAACATCTTTGTTCTCCAGCCAGAAGCTACGTTAGGTTCTCAGTACAACCATTTTGCATCTTATTATAGCATACGATTGTCATTTCTGACATTCAAACCTGCCAAGGAAAACTCTATGACTCACTGTAGCTCATCATCCTCACCTTTAACTACATTTCTGATTTTTTTCTAACCTTTTAATCTCAATCGGCAAAAAGTCTGTGATAGATAAGTAAATATAGGGACCAAAGTATTAAGCACGTATAAAGTTGATGAAGTCTCTCAATCTGTAGAATACTGCCAGCAGCCATGCCTCCAATAATTTAACAATCGATCTGTAAAACTCAAGTCAGGCAGAATGAACAGCTAGACATTTGAACTAGTTACCTCAGAGCCTGAACCTCAAACACAGCACCACAATCCCACTTAAGCAAATTGAGGACATAAATATAACCTTATGTTATGGTATGACATTTTTGTTGAAAAAAATATTAGCAGTTAATACAGTATACACAATTTACTATGTAGAATTGTGGCATATGACAAGTGTCATACACAACCAATATTAAAAAAAACAACATATAATAAAGTGTAGTTCACTATCAAAGGCAAATCAATTGGTTGAGGAGTTGAGGGCACCGCAACTTACAGTGATAACATCTGTACTGGTTCGAGCAGCATGTTTGCCAATGGCACAAGATGTCTTCAAGAAATAAAAGATATCAACTCACATCAAATGCATTTCAGTCGTTGTTATTGCCAATTATGATTTTTTGAATAAATTGAAATGAATTTTCAGCTCAACACAGAATATAAAAACTGAATAGTTTCAAGCACAAACAAAATGATTAAAATCCAATATTATTTAAGAAATAATTGAATTTCCTTGACAACCAAATAAATCCCAGGCAACAAAATTAAACTGGACTGATTAGATTAGGTTAGCTTTCTTAAAATAAATTACGACTAAATATAAGAAATCATTATATTGACAATGGCTGTCTGAAAGCTTAGTTGCCTTCTTAATCATTTCATACTTGGCATAAAAAATGACTTTTTGATGATACTGTATTGTCCAAAATACATATATTTCATAAAAAAAACTGAATATAAATTGTTATATTAGCCTTTGACTATATTTAAAAAACAAATCTAATCAAAATCTCAAAAAATGATGATCATTTGAATAAATTGAATTTTTATGCAGAGGAATATGTGTAGATGCACTGATAGAGAGTGCTGATGTTACCCAAGACTGGAAACTGAACCTCGGGGAACTGTCATCATGCCTGGACAAAGACTTCTCCCCACTCAAAAGAAGTAAGTATCTGCTACAGTACTGTTGCTTGAATCTCACTAGGGTAGGCTGTTACAGAGAACTTTGTTTGAGTCCTACTAAGGTAGGCTGTCAAGAAGCTTAGTTATACGTTTAGGTCCTATTACGGAAACCTTCTAACAAAGTCCTGTTAATCATAGGTTCTTCCTTTAAGTCCTGTTACAAAAAGATTTCACCAAAGTCCCATTAAGCAAACCCTCTACATTTACAGTAAGTCCTGTTAAGCAAAGCTTCAAATTTTATTCTCGTTTCCAAACAAAGCTCTTAGCAGCAAAAAAGCTACCAGTATCAATATTCAAAAGTTCTTAATTTGTGGCAAAAGACAAGCCAAACCAGTCACTCTTCACAAAACTCAATTTATTAAAAATTTAGAAAAAATGAGAGCTATAAAATTTGGTAAAAGAATCATTTAAATCTGTCAATTTGTTATGAAGTTATAAGCATTAAAACATACAGCTGTTTAAAGAACAATATTTGAAAAAATCAGCCTTCAAAGTTTATGATTTTGGGCATTTCTCAGGCAGAAACTGTCAACAAATTGTTAAAAATTGTTGTTTTAACATTGACAATGGGGAAAATAACAGCAGAGCATGAGTTATAGATATATAAAAATTAGTTTAGTGCAATAAAATAGATTTTAAAAATGTTGACATTTCAGCATGTTTTGGCCATTATCTCTGAAACACGACTTGTGAAGAGTGATTTGTTTGGCTTGTCTTTGCAACATTTAGTATCAAATTGTTCTATTGTGAATGTGCAAACAACATTGCTAGAGAGTACATTGTACCTGATTGGTCCTTTTAAACCACTTTATTTGCACTGTGGTATTTAAGATGGGATGTTTATACCTTGCGAACATTCAAATTCAGATGTCTTAAAACATCAACTTTAATGTCAGTAGGCTATTAATTTCATCTGTAATTTCAAGCTGCTATAAAATGGACTATTGGAATGATTAATGATACAATTTTAATTTTTGTTGTGTTGCCCGTGGGCTACTTGCCCAGGCTGATAAGGAAGGCATATTTCCCCAAGGTAACAACCTGTTTTAGCTGCCAAAAACTTTGATTTACTTTGCATCTCGGTACTTTAAAGAATATTAAAACCTAGTTCACACTAAACGATGTTGTTTGTATCCATCTACTGTGAATTTAAAGCTTTAAATTTGGGTTGCTGATTGGTTTTTATTAAATTAATTGCAAATATCTTTCTGTAGTTTGTGGTTTTAGTAATATCTACTTTTATAGGACAGTCAGTATATAACAGAAGTACTGCATTTTGATCTTGCCATGTTTTCTAGTGTTTTATGAGATCATATTACTTATATTGCAGTAATTAAATAATTTTATTTATATCTGCCTCATTGGAACTTGGAACATTATAAGTTATTTGAATATTTTGAATGAGCAGTTTAATGTTTTATTGCATTATTAGGTAAACAATTAATTATAATTTCATATAGTAGAGTAGAACAACTATGTCTTTAAGTATAGTTACTTTGGCAATATTTACACACATATCAACATACTATGGTTTGGATTTTTGAATACTACTATATTGTTGAACTGCAAGTAAATAAATTTACTAACACAAGAGGGCAGTGTTTTACTTGAGTTTTTCTTTTGAGATTCTCTGGATGTGTTAATGTATGTTATTTGGTCTTGTTTGTGAATAGCATGTCACAATAAAAACATTCTTCTGTATATCCTGTATCAGTTTACCATATCCGTTTTCCTGGTTATCGGATTCCTTTTGAAATATGTATTCAAAAGTGGCCTCAAGGTTGCCTTTAGAGGATCTTTTTCTTTAAAAGTATATACATCCTTTAGGAGCCTACTTATCTCATTGTCTAACAAATGGCAAATTGCATTTTTTTGTACTTAAGATAATTAGATAATGTCAGAAATGAAGATTAACAGACATGTTTCTCTTACAAATGGGCAGTAATGGAGTTTTAGGAATTATCCTATACTTGGCAATTTAGTGGCAGGATAATAACGTCATTTCTTACCTCTTTCTTAATAGTTGAATAAACAGTTTAATATGGAAATTTGGTATCATCTACAGTATTCTTCTGTAGCTTGTTGGTGGTTCATTATCAAATTTTTTATGTATCATGCTGTACTTGGTGGTTCAATGACCAATATAATGATGTAAAATTTAGTAGGTATTTTTCTGTACTTGTTAGGTGAATGAACAGTATAATGATGTAAGTTGTTAGGTGTTGTCCTGTTCTTGCCAGTTTGTGAACATATGCTATATTATTAGGTATACTTCCCTGTAGCAGCTGTTAAATGAACACTTTAATTGAGTATTAGCCATTCTCTGAATTACAAATACAAACTCAATTTTACAAATAACTAAATCCCGGCTGGTTAAAAATAGCCAAGCAAATACTAGTCAGAATAATATTGTTAAATCATTTCATTTGATATTAAGTCTATCGTCAGTCATATAAATTCATCTCTACAGGATGAACATAGATAATGTATACAAAATATATACAAAATGCTTAATTTAGATATGTTTAATTTCATTCGACAGCGAAGAACTCACTACATAATGAATGGAATTGATATGCTATAAACTCATGAGGCTTAGGGAATGGAGTTGTTATTAAATAGTCAAAAGAAAAAAATCTTGGTGACACAGTATTTCACTGATTTTACAATTTGGTTTTGATATGGCCTACTATTTTTCTTTAATTTATAAGATCAAATGTACTATATACAGTAAATTAATGAAATAAATTGAAATCCAAAAGTCTTGAGCCAGGTACTAACTGCGCCCGACAGTCATCGGTCGACTCAATTCTATAAAGAATGACGATAAGTTCAGACTGCCTTCAACAATCAGCAGAGGGCGGCATGTTTTCTAGAGCTCACAGGGAGTTAGGGTCGTCGTATGACCGTCATACAAATGTTGTATGACCGTTGATAGCCTTCTACAATACCAATCTCATTTACCTTTATTTTAAACAAAGGTAATGAGATAGCCTTCTACAATACCAATCTCTTTAGCTTTGTTTGAAATAATTTTTTCATTTTCACAGAGTGTTCTTTGGATGATAAAGAATATGATGATGGTAATGCCGTAAAGAAAATGTGTAACGTATGGTAAGTAGCCAATATGAAGTAAATTGGTTGCATTAAAGCACACACAGCTGCATCCCAATCCCCCCCCCCCCCTTTGATGGTTTAAGTGCTTACCTTCTGATCCTAAGGACCTGTGTTCAAATCATGTGTAAATCAGGATTGTTTTTTTTTCTCATGAATAAAAACGACTCCTCTCCTTAAGTCTTAGACTTGGTTTATACGACTTCCAGCCTGTAAGTTGCAAGTCACTCCCTGTTTGATGAGAATGAAGAAAAAATAATCAGGAATGAGCAATTCATTGTTTTATTTTAAATTTGTACAATCTTCCAGATTTCAACAAACCATAATTATACGGTACTTTTAATATTTGCATACTCTATGTGGTTTCTATTTGGGTAGATTTATGGCCATCATAAGCCTTGGTGCAAAGTCCATTTTAAAGTATCCCCAGTGCAATCTTTTACTAATTTTGATAATTTTAAGATCATGCTTTATCAAATGTATCTCCAATTATCAAATTACATGAAATTCATAAATTCACTCTAGACAAAGTTCAAAGACGACAAAAACGATGCTTGTTAACGAGGCAGGATGTTGTTGCAACATCACTCAACAGTGTTGCCATGGCAACATGCGTTGCTATGAATAGAACTAGTTATTTTGTAACTTTATCTATAGCATGGCCTCAATTCTATTTCCTATACAAATGATCAAACTAATCAGTAGTTAAGATTGACTTTTAAAGTTCCATGTTAATCATTCAAATCTTTGATTACTTTCACCCATTTGTTACATTAAAAGAATAATAATATCGACTTATGCCATATTATTGCCATTGCCTCTGGGTTATTGTAACAAATTCCTATAAAGTCATATTAAACTTCGTAAGGAGTATTCAGTAATGTTGTCAACAGTGGTATATTTAAGGGTATTAATGTGGGGGTTGGGATGAACTGATGGGGCATGATAAGCAAGTGAGGTGAAGCTACCTGGGGGAATATTTAAATATTATGCATAGACATCTCAATGTTCAAGGCAACAATCAATACATTTCAATATTTTACCTTTTTTTAATTGTAGTGTGTGTGGTTGCGGAAACTGGGTATGCACTGCCCATATATGTGATGAGTCGAAGCACAAGATAGGTGAGGCTGAAGCTGGTGGCATCAACGAAGATGATTTGGTGATGACGCAGACAGAATGGGAAGCCAAACTCAAACAACTGGCAGAAGGTGCTGTTGAGATTGGTGAATGACAAGCCCTGCAACTGGAGACCTCCTCTCTGGCTTATTTGGAGGTGAGGGTGATGCTGAGAACGGAGATAAAACAGACTTATTTGGAAAGCTATATGGTACACTGGACTTGGTTAAAGAAACATCTAAAAGTGTAAACACAAAATTTGGAGACTATATATGTCAAGCAACTAGGTTAGAGAAAATAGTTTAGTTACTATCAAACAAGTTTATACTTTAGTTTAATACTATTATCTAGCTAGGTTAGTGCTAAATAGGTTAATTCATTTTAGTTACTATTAACTACTTACTTATGGACAGCATAATGCATCTGTCTGGTTTTAAAGAAAGAAACTTTCAAATCCTTTGGTCCTGAACTGCAATCTCATCCTCGGTCCTACAGTACACCCAAGTCTGTGTAGATCCTGCATGATGGCATTCTTAATTGTAGCTTTAAGTTTTCCTGATCTGTGTTTTCCATGTGTGGGCTTCCAGCTACACATTCTGGGTATACTATCAACTAACTAGAGTAAACTAAGTTGGTTACATCACTTTAAAGTGTTTGAAAGCTCACAAAAGTTAGTAAGTTTCAACCATTAACATGGTTTACATGACAAAGAACATTTTATCCAAATAATTTCCAGGAACCAGATGAATTTCTATCATTATTATACTGTTAGCTAACTAGGTTAGAAAAAGTAGTTCAATGTTCACTGTATGTGTGCCCCTTCCCCATTAACAATACATGAATTATTGTATTGCACAAGAGCAGAGATTTGCTGTATACTTCGATACTTGCATGCACGAGATGCGCCGACATGTTTCATTCATTAAGACTGTCTGATGTACTGTATATTTTTTTAGCATTATATTTATGAATTCAGGATTGCAGGAGGTTTATTCTGCTACATAATTACATCATTTTGCCTGGAGGATTGTATATAACAATAAGGCCACATTAGTGCTTTGCAGCAATGCCTTAACCTATCAATTATGCATCACAGACCTGCCAAGCCTAGCTCTGAGATGTGTTTATAGGGTGGATTACATTACATTTACCTATTATTTACTGTGATTATGTTGTGAACAATAACATTTGTCTTCCATCATCATTACATTCCTACAGTATATATATTGAATATTAAAAAAAGACCTTTCATCATTGATAGGCCTACTTAATGTGATACATGTTTCTTAACATGATTAATGTTTCTGTAAAACTTATTATTACGTTGAATTGCATGATGTTACTTCATATGGTCTCTTATATCATGTTATTACATAATATAACATATTATTATGTTATATTATTAAAGATCCAACTGCTTTTTTTTTTTGGCTCAGCTTAGCTTAGTAGTTCTCTGAATATCCCATTCATATGAGAAGTACTGTAATGTTATTCTGCAATGTGATGCAAAACAGGTTTAAAATCTGCATCTGTTACATTCAGCACAAACGCCTGCTGAGGCTATCCCATGCAGTGTGTGAGCATCGGGTTGTCTGCAATATATATTTGGGTAATTCCATGTAAAACAGGACATGAACATAGAAAATTCAAAATGATTTTTGAAAAATAAATTATATATGACTACTGTATAGTACATGAGTTGAAGTTTCTGAAAATATATTGTGCTTGAAAGTAGATGGCCATTTTGTTTTTCAAAATGGCTGCAGAAATTTGCATAATTTATGCAAATTTAGACTATATATTATATATACTTTCACTTTTTTTAAATTTACACATTTGGATTGAATTATTTATGGTATTGAATTATCATCTCTGCTACATTAAGCTCCTCCTGCAGCCACTTCAAGACATGAGACACTTGTGATACCTATCTTACTGGAAATTCTTATGGATTTGAACTACCATTTACCAAAATCGCAAATTATGTGATATCTTATTTTGTATTATTTAAGTTTCCTGGCTCAAATTAAGCGTAGAAATAATTAATTCACATTATAATTATCTCACAAAAACATCCAAATTGTGTCCCTTTAAAAATTTAAAATTGTTTTCTACATAATATAATATTACAAATAAGTGTAACGTCAGTTACGGTAACGTCAGCAACCAACCGATCATTATAAAAATGTTAATATCTTATGAAAAATTTAATAAATTTGTAATCATTAACCATGTACTTCTAGTATACTAATGCAGTATTCCATGGCATAAAACTCAACTTTTGTCTGTCTCTCGGACATAAGATATTCAAATTTGTTACCACACTCATTTCCTCCACTAAATCTGTACCACAAATAGTAAAATGTTTAATTTGGTATTCCTGTATTTCACCCCCTTAGTACTACCATCTCTAGCAATAAGAAAAAATTAGGTCTTTCCTATTTTTAATATAAAGTGAGTAACAATGTGAATATAAAGGATAAAATGAAACGTCAGTTACCGTGGAATTCCCCATTTACATTTTTGGATTTGTGCGGATGTTTAGTCTGTCGATATCAAATTCTCAAGCTGGGACTTAAAATACTGTAGAGAAGGCGCACATTGTTTATAAGAGTGAAAAAGCTTTCACTACTCAATTGGATTCACCATCCTATAAAAGCCCTGTCCAGATTATCAAATATTATTTGTCAAAAACATGTGACATGCCTAAATATAAGTCATGATGACATCACATCATGACCATAAATAGGTGAATCATGACTATATATGGGCATACAAGTTTTTTTTTAGTAGACTGGAGGTGACATTCACCAGTAGATTTATTTTTTTGACTTTCTTGGCTTAGAAATCTGCCTTCTTATTATTGGATTTGTCTTGATTATTACTAACCTTTTATCCATTTATAAAAATGTAAATGTTATATTATGTACACTGTTGTCATAAAGATTAAAGTTTACCTTAACATATATTATTATGTAAATGTTCATTATAGATCAAACTTTACATAATATAATTATATTACATTGATTTTTATTATACAGATCAAAATTTACATAACATAATTATATTTTATAAATAAAAAATCATTACTCTATATTAAAGTCATGATTAATTACATAAATGTATTTAAAAATTTTTTTTTAGCTATATAGGTACAAAATATGGTTAAATGGTTTAAATCAAAAGTAATGAATGTTTTAAAAATGAAAAAGACTAAGTAGAAAAGTTATGGTAGTCTATATTAATACTGTATTAAAACAAGTACTAGTTTTATTAAATAAAAGTTTATTATTTTAATGTTATTAAGTCAATTAAATGTTAAATAGCAGGACTAAAACTGAAATAATTTAATTTTGCTATAAATATTTTATATCTCAAAAAGAATTTGAAAAATAATATTGATGGTATTAATATCATGTAACATAATTAGAAATCAAAATATCTTGTGTTAAAGTGTTTCTAATTTTACAACCCCTGTAAGCACATTTTATAGGCTTATGTCTATTATTCTTTGGGAAATGGACTTGCTTATATCATGTCTTCAAAATATTTCTTGAAAAACAAATGTATTGTATATATTAACTTACTATACAGTACGTGTTGTTTATGAGGTAGTCAACTAATCTGTAGATAGTTTAATGTCCATCTATCAAGTTTTCTGAGACGAATATCCTTAACTTGCTCATATATGAACAGGATGATGTCAATTTGAAATCACAGGTATTTGTCATAGGAACCTTAATAGCATGGATAGCGCTTTAGTCAATAGGAACCAGTACAATTCTCCAATACTGCTTTTAGTCATTAAGAACCAGTACAATTTCCAATACGTGAAGAATGTTTCATATAGAGTGGGGATTGATAGTCGCATGACACAGTTGACGTATTTGGTCAACAACATGTTGAATCCTAATGTAAGTGATGGTTGGACATAATGTAGACCTGTTCATTCAACATTTTACAATGTGGTCATTTTGATTATTAGAAATTCTTTTTTATTTATTACAGTATACTTCAATAACTTTAATTCATTAAATAGTTCTGTGTTAAAATTATACATAACAAGGATTTAATGCTATTACATTGTACAAATATCATGTTTTATACTCAATAAATATACCAATAATTAAGGACAATGTCCATGCTTATTTTTACATACTTGCACACAACAATTATACTGAGTTCTCTGTTGAAAATTTACATTTTATAACTAATTCACACATAGAATATATGTGACAACTTTTAACACAATTATGTCCAATATTTTACTTATTTCACAAACAATTACGATCGATGCAAATCTGAGGAATAGCATAATTGGTATTGCTATTTGTTTACACTTTTGCATGCTTCTTTTGCAAGTCTCCCTGCTGTCACGGTAGCCTAGGCTACTGAATAGCCTAGTTGCACATTGCATTCAGGTGTGGTGTTAGCGGGGGGGCTGGGGGACAGGATCCCCGTCGTGGAGAGTTGCCCCCCCCCCCACCACCTCCGTCGGAGGAAAAACCACAAACATTGGGGATAAAAAAAACTATATGTATTTTCTACACATTAATAGACTCTGAAATTGATTAAATAAGCCTCTAAAACCCCTAAATTGTAAAAATTTTCCGATCACTGTTGAAATATTTTGGGAGGCTCCTAGCCACGCCCACTTTTCTCTCGTTCTCGGGGGCCTTGGATCCCTGTTGGGCAAATCCTAGAGCCACCCCTGGTGCATGGCTTCTTGTTGCACTGATCATTTTTCGAGGGACAACAACATTTGTGTCATCATTGTACAAATATCATGTACTAGTTTTAATATCATGTACTAGTTTTATTAAATAAAAGTTTATATATATTTAATAAAAGTTTATTTATTTATTGTTATTAAGTCAATTAAATGTTAAATAGCAGGACTAAAACTGAAATAATTTAATTTTGCTATAAATATTTTATATCTTCAAAAAGAATTTGAAAAATAATATTGATGGTATTAATATCATGTAACATAATTAGAAATCAAAATATCTTGTGTTAAAGTGTTTCTAATTTCACAACCCCTGTAAGCACATTTTATAGGCTTATGTCTATTATTCTTTGGGAAATGGACTTGCTTATATCATGTCTTCAAAATATTTCTTGAAAAACAAATGTATTGTATATATTATAACTTACTATACAGTACGTGTTGTTTATTTATTTATTTATTTATTCTGCCTTTAACGTGATAACACTTTCAGTGACGCAGCACTGATCTCACTAGTGGATCACATAAACAAAAAAGTAGAACAAAAACAAACATAAAAAAAATATACAGAAACTTAACTAAAATAAAAAAGAACCAATTCAAATGAATTAAAAAGAAGGCAAGAGAACAGAGGGTGGTCAGAAAGATATAATTAGTTTTCTGTTTAGATCAAAGTTTTTAAATTTTTAAGTTGGAGATCATTTAATTCTATTTTAATTTTGTTTGGAAGTTCGTTCCAAGCCTTAGTTGCACGGTATAAGAATGTTCTCTTGCCTTGAGTGAGTTTCCATTTTATCTCCATCAAGGTGTTGTTAGATTTATTCCTAGTGCACTGAGAGTGGCTATTTTGATTAAAATGTTTATGAGGTAGTCAACTAATTTGTAGATAGTTGAATGTCCATCTGTCAAGTTTTCTGAGACAAATATCCTTAACTTGCTCATATATGAACAGGATGATGTCAATTTGAAATCACAGGTATTTGTCATAGGAACTTTAATAGCATGGATAGCGCTTTAGTCAATAGGAACCAGTACAATTCTCCAATATTGCTTTTAGTCATTAAGAACCAGTACAATTTCCAATACGTGAAGAATGTTTCATATAGAGTGGGGATTGATAGTCGCATGACACAGTTGACGTATTTGGTCAACGACATGTTGAATCCTAATGTAAGTGATGGTTGGATATAATGTAGACCTGTTCATTCAACATTTTACAATGTGGTCATTTTGATTATTAGAAATTCTTTTTTATTTATTACAGTATACTTCAATAACTTTAATTCATTAAATAGTTCTATGTTAAAATTATACATAACAAGGATTTAATGCCATTATATTGTACAAATATCATGTTTTATACTCAATAAATATACCAATAATTAAGGACAATGTCCTTGCTTATTTTTACATACTTGCACACAACAATTATACTGAGTTCTCTGTTGAAAATTTACATTTTATAACTAATTCACACATAGAATATATGTGACAACTTGTAACACAATTATGTCCAATATTTTACTTATTTCACAAACAATTACGATCGATGCAAATCTGAGGAATAGCATAATTGGTATTGCTATTTGTTTACACTTTTGCAGGCTTTTTTGCAAGTCTCCTTGATGTCGCTGTAGCCTAGGCTACTGTATAGCCTAGTTGCACATTGCATTCAGGTGTGGTGTTGGGCCGGGGGACAGGATCCCCGTCATGGAGAGTTGCCCCCCCCCCCACCACCTCCGTCGGAGGAAAAACCACAAACATTGGGGATAAAAAAAACTATATGTATTTTCTACACATTAATAGACTCTGAAATTGATTAAATAAGCCTATAAAACCCCTTAATTGTAAAAATTTTCCGATCACTTTTGAAATATTTTGGGAGGCTCCTGGCCACGCCCACTTTTCTCTCGTCCTCGGGGGGGCTTGGATCCCCGTTGGGAAAATTCTAGAGCCACCCCTGGATGCATGGCCTCTTGTTGCACTAATCATTTTTCGAAGGACAACAACAATTGTGTCATCATTGTTTATAGCGCATGCTGTGCTTACAGTAGGCCTATGCCTAAATTTAGGATAGGAGGCCTAGCAAAATATTAATGTTTTCCAAAGCCTGTCTTTATGGTTAAAATCTGCAAAAAAGTACACACACATATGCATTGATTAACTCGGGACATCTACTGTAGCTGCAAAGAAAAACATGCTACTCTTCTGAGATTATCACAGGGGTCTGAAAGATTTTACATGGATTTGCTTTAACATGACCCAAAACTTTTTACAACTTGTTACTATTTGATACTGTTTGCAAAATTGTTTACATACGAAATGGATCAGTATATATTATACATAATACAGTATGGTCGGTATATATGTATACATCAGCATGAGTAAATGCCTGAGATATATGCTCAAACAGTTATTAAATCCTGGTCAAACCTTTTGAGGAGAAAGTTCTTCCAATTTTGAAGGAATCCCTTGTCATAGTCGTACATAAGGTCCTTGGGAAGGTGGCCTCGCAATGCCAGTTTGCGCTCACGATATGTCCAGTTGTGAGTTATGAGATGAAACTGTTGTAATAGGAGGATTAACATAGCTAGACACGCCAATGCACTGTATAGGCTACATGACAACACAATGGCTGAACTGTAAACAAAAAACATAATTATGAGATGGTAGATATTCAATGTTAATTTATTTGCCTCTTGATTGAAAAAAGAAGAAAAGTGCCCACATAGAGGAAAAAGGAGTAATGATGTTAAATGACATGAAAGAAAAGGGTGAAGTTTATGCATATATGAAAAAAATATTGCATCATAGAGAATGTTTGCAGTATGAAAGAAATATAAGTGCGACACAGAAATGCCATCTATTCATTATTGTATTAGTTACATTTTTAAGAATTAATGATTTACTACTTCAGTCAATAAATCATTATTATTTTTTATTTTTAACAGCAAGTACAGTTGCCACTTACAGGATGGAACAATGCTGTAAAAAACCAAGTATCTTAATGAGGCTTAGGGTGGAGTTATTTTTAGTCATGAGAAAAAGATCTGTTGAGACAGGAATTGAATCCATGACCTCGGGATTAGAAGGCAAATCTTAACTGCTAAGCTATTTAACGCCACTACATCATTTTCTTATCAAGTACAAACTTCCTTGCATAAATAAGGCCCAATAAAAAAATGATCAAAAAGCGATGAAGGAGGTAGGCTTTTTATTTTTATTTTGCTAAAGCCAAATATCACCCTTTACGCAATGTAAAATACATGATTGAGATAATACAAACAATATTTTTTGACTAAAAAAAGTTGAATAAAAAAGAAAAAAAAAATCTGTTTTTTTTTTTTTCAATACCATAGAAGACATGCGGGCAAGGGTGATAAACTAATCATTTATTTAATTTGGCCTAATGCAATTAAAGCTAGAGCCAATTTTGAAGTTTGCTCCTAACAAAAGAAGGTGATAGTACAATTATTATCTTACCTATTCTTCCTATAAGCATACAGGCATTGTGGGACATGAAAGCCATATTGGGGATGATGACACACACTCTGTAGTGATAACACAATACCCCACACACCACCTACTACAAACAGGATGATCGACAGCAAAAATGAACGATGGTTGGCCTCTCCAACACAGCTATCTATCCTGTAAAACAAGCATACAATAAATAAATCAAATGTAAATGCTGCAGACATTCATAGAAATTGAGCATCTCAATTGATGGCAGAAAATTTAATTAATTAATTATTATAGGGAATTATACCACAACTTTTTGCCATGGATACAAAGTGCTGATAGTGTTGGTAGGCCTATATACCCCTGGTGCCTGGAGTCATAGCTAGGCTAACTGGCACAATGTGCAACCTTCTCCACTCCCTGGGGTATAGCTATACACCAGCTGCAATTTAATGTGCAGACTAATAAAAACAATGCTACAACATCCTACCACGTATTCACTTAAACCCAAGGACCCAAGTAAAAAATTATCAGTAAGGGATGTGACCCCTAAATGCCAACACTGAGAGGTCGATTTCTGCTTCATATCATTTACTATGTTTAGTTAAAGAAATATTTCAAAATGTGATGTGTAAAGAAACATTTTTACAATTCCTAAACAATTATAACGTAGATAAGGCGATCACGTATAAGACGACCCCAGACTTTGAGAAGATTTTTAGACAATTTGTGCAAGACGAGACCCCCCCCCCCCCCCTTTTTTTTTGGAAAACTTTTTTTTTTTTTTTTTTAAAAAAAGAGACAAAAAAAAAAAAAACTATTGATGGTGGGTGAGTGCACCCGATTTTGTTTGGCCAGTTTGCGGCTCTCTCTTTCCATAGTTGTTTCCCTTTCATCATGATGTTTCCTCTTGTGGTTGTAGTTTATGTTTAAAACAAATTAAGAGAAATACAAAAAAGGGAAAGAAAGAGATCACGCCAGGGTTGTTATTCAATGGTAAACAATAGTGCGCCCTCTCCCGGGGCACCGGAGTCAGCCATTGTTGGTCGATATTTACTTGTGTTGGGTTCTTGCTGAATAAACGTTATAACTGTAGACTACCGTGTGTGTAATTTCATTTAAGTCGAATCTAGCCTACTGGCGCAGTCTAACCTATCAAATTTTACTTGAGAAAATAAATGTGATTTATACCCTATTCAGACTACACTCTCTTGCGATCGGTTGCGATGTAATCGGTGGTAATCCAAAACTGATTACTCCCGATCGCAATCAACGAACGCATTCAGACCAACACAAACAAACTTTACATTCTAGGGCCAGGCCTCCCGTGTCTAGGCCTATGTTGCCTGACCTCAGCCAAACGGTGCCTGCGGAATTCGTTGATTCGTTGCCATCAGATTCCGTGGTAATCGGGAGTAATACAGATTGTAGCACCCAATTGCAACGGGTAACACGATTTTACTTTGCGATTGGGTGTCGCAATTGCTACAACCAATCGCAATGCGATGCTAGTCTGAATGGGGTATTAAACATTACACATTACTGTATTACATTTTGAAATATTTATTCAACTAAACATAGTAATTGATATGAGGCAGAATTCGACCTCTCAGTGTTGGCATTTAGGGGTTACATCCCTTAACTGATAATTTTTTACTTGGGTCCTTGCCCTTGCAAATTGGTGAAAGAATGCAACTCTTTTTAACTAGCAGTTTCAGTGAATAAACAGTTCATATTGGGCATAATGAGACATCATTATACACCATAATGGGCCCATTACACAAATTTGCAACATAACATTTATGTGGACAGCTTAGCTAAGGCCTACAACATCTTTCTATACCCGTAGGGGCCTAGCCCTTGTCGCGTCCCCGCCAAGCTAGGCTAGGCCTCGGTAATGGTGGTGGTGTTTGGAAGGTGGTGTGGTAAGCCGCCTGCTAGGCTAGACCTAGCCTAACCTACTACTTAGGCCTAGTCTCTACCTGTCACAAGCCGAATCAACATCTTCACAGTCACATAATGCAGCCAACACATGACTTTTATCTCCATTTATATTTTCATATTCACAACAGCACAAGGGGCCATCAATAACTTCTGATTTAGGGTTCATCATGATGATGATTACCCTAACTTTTGGCTATTTAACTTCGTTAGAGCACGCCCTCTTCCCATGTTGTAAAAACAAAACATACAAAATGCACACAGCCGATATGACGAGTGGTGTAATGTCGTAAGATTGAAACTTCAGTAGAAACAAAAGAAATACGTTTCTGTTTAGGCTAGGTAAAGTGATATGTACTGTAATTGATATTTATGTTAGTTATGTTCCTGACTGCGATATGTCTAATTAAAATTTGTAATTCTCAAGAGTGTGGTTATAAGTCTGTGTAGCCTTGGCTAACCCTCTAGCCTAGCTTAGGCCTAGGCCTAGCTGGCTAGGCTTGCGACGTACAAATCAAATGACGTCGTCACGGTCATAGTTGGTTTTTTAGGTCTATAAAGGACATTGATCGTGGGATAACAAAGCCTAGTATACATTGGTTTGTTTTGCAGGTGCCTTCGACTAACGACGCCAAGGCGTGATTGTCGTTCAAAATGTTTGGACAAGACATTTTCTTGTTTGTAAATCAGAATTAAAAATTTAAAGACTTGTGGGTACATTAACAATGACCTTTTCCTCATTTAGTAATTGCGTTTATTTGTGATGCTAAATGGCTATATCTTATTTAAAATAGGCTTTTTGAATAAGTTAAGCACTCCCTTTTTGTAAGACTAAGAGTGCTATATAGAAATGCTCAAATTCTCATATTATTTTTCGATGACGGGAACGATTTTGGAACTAGCACTCAGTACTGTACACTATAACACGTTAGACAGGGCTTATTATTTACTTGAATCAAACGCCATCAGAAAAGCATTGTAATACCCGCTGCTACATGGTGATCGGATTCATCACTAGCCATTAACTGCAAGCTCAGTGGTATAGACACCCAGCTAGTTATCTGGAGGTCATGGGTTCGATTCCAACCCGAATCACTTACCAATTTTTTTTTTGCAAATATTTGGGAACATGCTGAGCATTCAGTACAATAACATGTCATTAGGTAGGGCAAAAACATTTGTATTATTTCTCCAGACACAAACACCATCGGAATATTATCGTTGACTAATTTTGAAAATTTCCTCGCTACAGTAGATATGGCAGACAGTTTGCAGTCGATTCTGAGTGATGTTGCGTTTGGTATGAAAGATGCAGTCATTGGAGCATCTATAATATTCACTGTTGACAAGGAAATTGCTGCCAAGCAGGAGCAAAGAAGAAAGGAATTTGAAGAACTACAATTAAAAAAGAGAAGATCTCCTCTAAAAAGGAAGAAAGAAGAGTAGGTTATAAATAAAGTTCAGCACAATACAAATTACTTTCTGCACAATATTAGGTACTCAAGTCACACTCTCATCAACAGCTTACCATCCACAATCTTCCGTTTCTTCTAAATCTTTTTCCTCAAAGCTTAAAAAACACTTGATTTCAAATTATTAACTATGATTTACATTATCGGTCGCTTCTCGATGTGTCCTGCTATGATCAAAGATTTATATTATTACTTATTTATTTATTTACTTTTTTTTTTCTGTTTTATTTATATATTTCCATCTTTTTTTTTTTTTTATTAAAGTTTCGATTTACATTTTTATATTTAATTTTATTCTTTTGTTTTTTTGGTTTTTTTTATGGTGAAAGTTTTTGCTACTTTTTTACGTATTTATTAATTACTAAAAGTTTATTTTTAAAAACTAGCTTTTTCAAAATTAATACACTTAAACCTTTATTTTTACGGATAAATTTATGAAAATACATGTTATAATTTTAAAGTTTTAATTTTTTCAAATTAAAGAGTATTTATTGTTAAAAAAACTTGAGTCTGTTTGATTATATTTTTAAATGTGGTCTTGAATTGGAGGTCATTTTGTCACATGGTACTTCCATAAAGGTGGTTTCAGTCTCGAAAATTTTATGGTGAAAGTTTTTGCTACTTTTTTACGTATTTATTAATTACTAAAAGTTTATTTTTTAAAAACTAGCTTTTTCAAAATTAATACACTTAAACCTTTATTTTTACGGATAAATTTATGAAAATACATGTTATAATTTTAAAGTTTTAATTTTTTCAAATTAAAGAGTATTTATTGTTAAAAAACTTGAGTCTGTCTGATTATATTTTTAAATGTGGTCTTGAATTGGAGGTCATTTTGTCACATGGTACTTCCATAAAGGTGGTTTCAGTCTCGAGATTAGAAAGGCCTCAAAATTAGAAGGTGAGCTCAGTGTTAAAAGATAGGTTGTCAGTTGGTACTTTTAAAAAGTGGTCTCGAATTAGAGGGGTCTCGAATTGGAGGGCAGACTGTATTATATTATTGTGATTATTTCATTTATTTTACATCACTCTTTAAGTAAATGATTTTACCGACAGAGAGCCAAGGATTCTTCAACGTGTGCTGCAATGCTGTGCTTTGAATGGTGGAGTGTTCTGGCTAAGCATCGTTGTGTTCAATTCAATCTTAATACCCTCTTTACACTCCTTGACTCATCTTCTTCTTGGTAAGTATCCTCAATGCAAGTTATCATCTTGGTAAATTTTGAGACTTTACAGTCCAGTCAATCGGTGGATTGATCCAGAACTATTTACAACAGAAATAACTTTTGAGGAATCTGTTCCAGAAATATCCACAAAATATCGTACTAAAAGTGAAAAAAAAAAAAAACAAAAAAAAAAACAAACCAATCGAGAACATTGTTAATTTTAAAGACACTGAATGAGTTAACATTAATAAATATAAAAGGAAACAAAATATATTAGTAGCAGCAGCAGCAAATTTTATAATAGCTTGTGTGATTTTATCATAAATTAAAATTCTAAAATAAACCATTGTGTTTTTTAGGTGATAGTTCATCACAGAGTCTTGTTTGGTCTTGGATGAAGCCTGCCCTCTCTTATACATTTAGTGTATTATGGGTAATTCCTGTATTTCTTCTCAGTAAGATTGTCAGTAGCTTTTGGTTTCAGGTGAGATAATCTTTTTGTTCAAATTTGTCAGTTGAGTCATTAATTTCTAAAAATATGTTTGATTTTGAAATATCTGATTTCATATCTTGTTTCTTTTGTCAGTGATTTATTGTTTGGTCTATATATATTTAAAGGACATTGCAGATACAGCATATAAGAAATCAAAAGGGCGCCCTCGGCTACCAAACTTAAGCCGACTCGTTGCGGACATCATGATAAGTGTTCTCATCCAAATGCTGTTCTTGATGCAGGTAAAGTTAAGCAAATTTGATACAAAAATTATTTAAAAAATTATACAAAAAATCTTGTATATATTTCATGCTTCATAATGCTGAATATTTAGGCAGGATTAAATAAAAAAGTAAAAATCAGAAACTAAAACAAAAATTTAAAATACATGCTTGTGAAATTATTAATTGTGATTAAATTTTTCCAATTATTGTCTCACTATTCCAGAGCCTGTTGGTTAGCCTGATACCTTTGACAGGTGTTGGCCAGTGTCTCAAGTTGCTACACCTATGTATTCTAAATTCTCTCTATGCATTTGAATACATGTGGTTCAATCAAGGTAAGGCATGGCTGGTCCATTATTCCCATAATAATAATTAACTATAATGATCATCAACTTTATCATTATTGTCATTATTATCAACCTTATTATATCCTGGTCATAAGTTGGTCAGTTGTTTGATACAGTACAATCCTGGTACAACTTTCCATATTTCATGAGAACAGTTATGAACTGAACAGTTAAATTCACATATCATTACACTCTGTGTTCTACAGCAAGTGCTTGCAAATCGTAGGCTTCCCAACTGTGTGGTGGTGATGGTTATTTACTGTTCATGGCGGTCTTGGTTAGTTTCAGGTTATTTCTTTTTTAGTTCTTTGTCATTTTTTTTTTTCTTTTTTGTTTATGTAAAGTGCATAAAAGCTCCTGCATTATTCACTTTATAAATGTATCATTTATTGTTATTATGGTGTGGAGTTGAATGGTTAATGATTAAGATGCTTGCCTTCCAATCCCAGTTTCGTGGGTTCAGTTCCTGTTAGTGTTGCAGGATTTTGTTCTTGCTACCAAAACAACTCCACTACCTAAGCCTCATATTGGGATCATTTGGTTTGTGTAAAGCATCATGTGTGTGTGTATGTTTGTCTTGCGAAAGGGATTGACACGTACAAGTAGGACAATAATATCAGTATTCACTATTGACAGTCCTTGGTGCATATGTTGTGTGCCCAAATAAATAAATAAATAAATAATAATACTAAATAATAATAATAATAAATAAATAATAATAATAATAATAATAAATAAATAATAATACTGCATTGAGTGAGTTGAACCTGTTTTTCCACAGGTTGGGAAGCCCATAAGCGGTTGTCGTTTATAGAATCGAATTGGCCATACTTTGTAGGATTTGGTCTTCCACTAGCAATCATAACATCGCTACCTTCATCCTACTTTGTAAGTGGATGTCTGTTCTCAATCTTGTTTCCTCTCTTCATCATCAGTGGCAATGAAGCTCATATACCAAAGCAGCCATGGTAAGCTATAAAAACTTTGTACAAAACCTAAATAACTAGAGCAGTCACTCCATAGTGTGCATACTTCTGCCCTGTGCCATAATACCAACAATACGCAGGACATGTATCATAGGCGAAACTGCAGCATACCCTCAAGAAAATAATGGAATCGTCAGTTGTATTCAGGCACATTATTTTTTGAATGCTGCAGCATATCCTCAAGAAAATAATGTAATCGCCCATCGTATTCAGGCACATTGTTTTCTTAAGTGCTGAATGAATATGAGGGGCGATTCCATTATTTTATTTTATGCTAGGGTAAAAAAATCAAATTTCTCTGACTTTGACTTTTTTTTTCAAAAATTGAATGGTGCCTTTCTTTGATTATTATGTACAATTCCACTAAATGTTATGATAATCCATTCATTAGTTTTTGCATAATCTTGCTAACTGGCAGACAGACAGATAGACAGCAGTGAATACATAACCTTCTTGGTGGAGGTAATTATAGATGATTGGAGATTTTAAAATGCATCTTTCCTGATTCAAGAGGATAACATTTAGAACAAAAACATTTTTATGACATTTTGACTTAATGTTACTAATTTTTTTTCAGTTCCTATCCTCTACATATCTTTTCCGTTGTGATCACCTTAGTCAACAGAATTATGACAAAGAGCGTCAATGCCACATCCAAGCAAAGATAATCCTAGATGTTGCTGTTGTGAATTATTGTTAACATCTCATCAAAGCAAAGAAAACAACAGTTTATCATTGAGATAGCTGTTGTAAATTATTGTTAACATCTCATCAAAACAAAGATAACCACAGTTTATCATAGAGGGAGCTGTTGTGAATTTAGTTCAATAACTAAAGGAAAGATGTAACTACTGTTGTTTATGATAAAACAGTTTATAGAGGGAGCCATTCAATGCATCATAGTAAAGAATTCAATAATTTGATATCCTATTTAATGGACTGTGTTAAAAAGAAATTAGAAACCACCTGTTGATAAGTTAATACATGATCAGTAAGTAACCACTTAAATCACTCAAATAAAATATTGCAATTTTAACTTTGGTTAATAATTAAAAAATAATATACTGTCCGTATTATTAGAATGTGATGTGCTCTTAACTTGTATGCAATGGGGCAATGCTTTGACTAAACTGTAATTTGTATTAGCAGACTGGATATAATTATTTACTCATGAAATTTCATTGATGCTGTTGTAATGATTAATATTTAACTTTTTTTTGGAACATAATATATATTATATAGTAGTAACTTTAATTGGTACATTTTTAATATGTGTACCCTCGAAGAACAGCTTGATAAAAAGTAACTAGTGACAGTCTGGCTATGATTTTCAAATAGATATTTGCTATGTTGCAGTCCAATTATTGGCTTTTTTTTTTTCAAAACCATCTTGGAGGAAGCTACAGTATTATGGTCATGATAATTTAGTGGACAATGATTAGAGTATAGAAAAAGAAAATATTCCATTCAGACAAGTGGAAACTAATGATACTTGAATACATGATGTATTATTTTAACCAGACATTTCCAGGCAACAAGCATGTGTAACACTAACAATTTTAATGTGCACATTAGTGAAAACACATTTTCTATATAATGATTTTACTTCTAAACACTCAGTGAGGTCTTAGATAAAGTTAGACTTGTATAACAATGGTCATACTATACATGCAGGACCAGTACAACTAACAGTGCGGTAAAGATGGTTATAATCAACTTATAGCAATCGTTCCTAGGTTGGTGTGGTTATGTTTCAACTATTTTAAATAGTAACTCCATGTGTTTTCATTCTTTGTGTCTGTCTTGCTTCTTTCCACTTAGGAGATACTCTTGGATACCTGGTAGTATAGTGAAGTATGTACACAGGCCTTGCAGTACAACTGATGATTTTAGTAAACAGTAAACTTATTGAGTTACCTGTCTCCTTTAGCTATGGGTGCTAATAATTTAGATTTAGATATAGAACAAACATTAAATTGATATCCTGAAGTTGGGATGGATGTTTTTAGTTTTGATTTTGTATGGTGAACACTTGTTTTACCAGCCAATACCAGACTATCATTTATGAGGTGCATTAAATTTGTATTCATTGGTCAATTATTGTATGTTCTACGTTTATCTGTTGTATGTGACTGAGAAACATGGACTGAGTTTCCATCCATCACTGATTGTAAATAATATAAGCTGTGAGCTTCAACACTAAATGGAGTACTGGGATTTAACAAAACAAGTGAGATTTCATGAATTATTTAACCAGGGAACAGTGAAATTAATTTCACTGTTCCGTGAAATTATTTTCACTGTTCCCTGATTTAACATGTAATATTGGCTACACTGCTTAAAATATCCTTGAAACAGTCTAGACTTTTTTCCAGGGGTGGTGATCATAGTGCAAGAAAAGCTCTACCTTTGCGCACTTCGAAGTACATGCATTCGGTAAATTGTCTCATGTAAAGTTTAAATTTTGATCTTAAAAACTGTATTATCTTTAAAGAAAATTAAGACGATTTAATGATTAGGATAATCCAGTTTTGGCAAAAATCCGGTTTTGTCAGAACTGGAAGACCTTTAATTTTTCTGGAATTCTTGGGCGGCTCTCATCCCAAGGTTCTGGGTTCAATTCCCATAACAGCAGGACTTTCAACGTGACTAAAATAACTCCACTCTCTAAGCCTCAAATAGACTTGCTAGAGACAAAGTTAATAATTTACAATTAATAATTAATCCCAATAGTTCGGGGCAGAACGTTCGGAACTTTGTTCAAACTATACCAACCACTTGACTTTGCAATCTGTGTTTACAACTACATCGGACGACAGGACGGCTGACTTCTCTGGCTAGAATATAGTGTAGATATTACCCTATAGGAAATATGAGTGACGAAGAGGATGTTGAAGCTGAATCGGCAGGTAAGGCTGGCTGTATATTCCCATTTGTTGAAGTGTAATTCCATTCAGTACGAATACAGGGGAGCAGTATCAGTTGGATGAAACTGATTGTAATCAATGTGTGTGCTTGGAGGTTTACCCCATCCAGTTGCTCTTCCTGTATAAAAATCAGGTTAACGTCGTACGACTTTCGGAAGAAACATTAAGCCGTTGGTCCTACTGACAACAGAGCCCAATCAAATGTATATGCTCTAAATGTACACAATCTAAATCAACTGATATAGCTGCCTTCCTGTGTTGCCTACTAGCTACTAAACCATGGGGTGGCACTGCTCTACAGCTGCTGAAAGCCTAGCTTGAATTTTTAGTTACTCAATTGAAACCATCAAATTGCTGGACGTTATTTGTTTACTAAGTTTGTATGTATATGGCTATTCCTATTTGCTCAGCGATTGGAATCAATTCATTCTATGTATTCCGATCGTTTGATACAATCGTACCATCGCCATTAGTGAATACTAGTACCGTATTAACCAAGTCGAGTGTCCAATTATCCTTTCAATTTAAATGGAAGCATATTATTGGGTTTGTTTAAATATTCTTGTGGAAGTAAAATCTAAGCACAATTGCCTAAGCACTTAAACACCGCTGTTTAAAGCTCAATACCATGTAGGCGAGCCCTATCTGATTTTGTTATTAAAACAATTGTTGAAACGTACATTTTTTGGCAGTACACCTGCCATCTTCAGTTTAGTGATTGCTCTCATTCAACCTTTTCTTTATAAATGAAGTGAACAACTGCGATACATTGTATTGTAAATGAAGAGAAATTGAACCATAGCTATTTAAAAAACGACATGACATTGCATTTTAACGAATCATTGACCCTTAACTCTATAGGAGAAGGAATGGTATGAATAAAGATGAACAAACGAAATAACGAACATAAAAATGACAAAAGTTAAATTAACATGTAAAAGTTGCTTGTTGAGAAAGGGCTCCCATTGGATATCCCTGATTTTTCGTTGGCTGACTGTTGAAGCGGAACACAGTATACGAAAGCAGTCCACGTTGCATGATGCTTTACATTGAGATAAACTTTTAAGATGTATAGTGATTTATTTAAATTCATGGGGAAAAAACCAGAAACAACAAGCGGAATAATGCAGTAAATAATATAATGTTGTTATATAAAAGTGTTACTGACTATCTTGATTTATATTATATGCAACTATTTGTTTCAAACCTTACCTATTGTGTAATAGAGTGTATCCAGTGGTTATTTTAATCTGTATATATTGTACATTATATATATATATATATATATATATATATATATATATATATATATAAATATATATGTATATTTGTATATATTCTTCAACCACCTCCTTTCCCCAATCGTGGTATCAGTGGCATTAATTTCTGGGAGGGGGGCCGCTAAGCTGTCTGACAGCTGACAGGGGGACTTGAGCTTGCAGGCCCAAGCTGGGAGAAGGGTTTGAGAGGGGTCCCTCATCCCAAATGAGATTTTTTTAAGAATAGGAACCTCTGGATGGTTGGAAATGGCACTCTCATACTGTGACAGATGTGTTGGCTTAGTGTTGGCCTATTTTTATATTTTTTATGGTATGACTGCCCGATGAGCTCTGTCCGATTTGTGGGGCTTGACCTCTCCGGGGGGGGGGGCTTAAGCCACCTGCCCCCCGCTGGCGCCGCCACTGGTCCAACATACTGTAGGCCTATGTGTATTGGACCTAATTTTATTTCATTATACAACTGATATTTTTTAGCAGTGTCTTTTAAATCGTGAACCATCTGTTTATGTTAACCTCCACGAAGGATTTTACGTCAGCAGATTTGCTAGCTCTTGTGTCATCTAGTGTCAATTACCCAATCATATTGCTAGTTTTGAAAAGAAAGTAAATTAGATAAAGAAAAAATACAGAATGTGAGAGTTTTATCTGATATATGTGTATTAAATATAAGTATATGAATTTAATGTCCTATCTTGCTGTTGTTTATAGGCCTATATGCCTACATAGCATTTATTTTATGGAGCTACTTATAGTTAATGTCCTGCATTCTAAACCGAAGATAAATGTCCTACGCTTATCGACTCCATTGTTTATACTGTCTTAACTGCATAACAAAAGTTTTCATTTGAAACATTTTTTCCTGACAGATTATTTAGAAGAGTCCAAACAAGTCTGCTATCAAGAAAAAAACACATAAAATTTCATTTTAATATCATTTATTCAAAAAGGCTTATATCGAAGTGCATTACTGTTAATGATTTATCTGACACGTATTAGGCTTAAAGAAAGTAGATAAAAACCAATAATAATTATATAATATTTATAGATATTAAAGTATAAGCTATTAAAAATAGCAATTCATCAGTAGGCCTACAATAAAAGGGGTATTTCGAAGGAAGCAAGGTATTCGTTCGTGTACAAAGCAAACATAATTGTATAGTATAGTGTATAGAAATCTATGTTTGGCCAATTTTCCCCCCAGATCAAAATTTCTTTGAACGCTACATTTGTTTTTCAATTCGTTGTATTTGTCTATATATACGGTACGCATTTGTAATCTGAGCTTCATTTTATAAATGGTGGCTTTCCGCTATTGAATCAGATTTGAATTAATAATTAGGCCTAATGTAAATTAGCATGAAAACACTAGGGATTGAAACGTTTGTCTATTAAACCACTGACAAGTGAGCACCTTTCTGTTAATATTTACTGTTGTATTCAATGCGGTGTCTTTTAAATTGACCTAATTATCGCGATATGATATTGCACAAGTGTTAAGCCTATATAAGTTATATAGGCTAATATTAAACGTATTCAAAATACAGATTTACAAATACACAAGTTGCCACAGCAATGATAAACAATCGGATAACAACCGTCAAAGTATATCGGTATCTTAGAAACCGGAATACTATCACCGGGGTGGCACCACATCAATGACAGTATGTATCAATACATCATCGCTGCCATGATTGGCGGCTATCAATAATTGATGTATAGGCCTGATGGGTCAACTGAATAATTGTTAGGCGTGTTGCACCCGGTGATAATATTTATCCTGATAATGGACTAGTACATGTGATGTCAGCATTCCCGTTCCGATGGGAAACAAATTTTAGAACCTATCTTTTTCGGTAAGTTTCTTGTGGATAATTGCCTGAAAGAAAAGGAAAATGACGCTCGAAACTCACCAAGCAGACTCCCTGCCAGGTAGGTATAATGTTAATACTTTTATTGGGCCTATTAGGCCACTTCAAACCGTAATGATCAAATAAGCCCCGAGGGTATAAAAAATATGTTGGGCTCTTTTGATGTAGGAACCTATTCAATTTATTGGAATAGAGTTTAGCATTTACCCTATTTTGAAAAGTATAATTACTATAATAGTATTAGATTAATTATGAATTATTAATAGGATATAAAAATATTATACGATCAATATTATATTAGGGTCTGCGTATTAACATTCCTATGTTTAAATCCCTCTACAAATTATATAGAATTAAATGAGAGTCGTGCATGTATGACTTAAAAAAGAATAATTGAGTAAAAATAACATATTCAATCATTTAAAATGCCTGTCAAGTTAAGATAGCAATAGCAACATGATAGTCGCAATAGCACAGCCCATGACTGTGACGAATTGTCTCTTTCGATGTGTACGACTGCTTCTTGCTTTTCAATGCGGGAAAATGATAATTTAGATAGTTCTTATTGAATAATAATAAACAGAATAATGAAAAACTGCTTACATATAAATCTGTTTCTGAAGCGCTCAATAATTATATTACATAGTCGAATAACGAGCGCTATTCATCAATGGACTAGTGCCTCAGCTAAGTTATTTTGTCGACCAGTTATAAATATTTTACCCAGTCCGCACCCTGCCCCTAGTCATAACCATAACAATTGCATTATGAGTAACATTAAAGATGTAGGCCTAATCAGTCAAAAGATTGGAAAATACCTCAAAAACTAAGATAAAATTTTGAATAGTTCAGTTAAAAAAAAAAGAGTATTAGCTTCCACGAATAGATTCACCGATTTACGGGCATTTTACTACAAAATCCATAAATTGATTAAGTACCAGTCAATTTAAGGATTTTTGAAGTAAATAAAACTTTTTTTTTTTATCAATCTGTTTCTTTGAAGGGGCTAATGATTCTTTTGAATGAGCTATTCATTTTTTAGGTACTTTCCTGTATTTGACAGACAATACATCTTTAGCAGTAACCAACAACTATACAATTATATTAATTAACAATAACTACAAGGGTGACGATGACAATGATAAGCATAACAATGAAGGTGGAGATGTGATGAGGATGATGATAATGAAGATGGTGGTGGTGATGATGATGGTAATGATACAATAATAACAACAACAATAATAATGATAATAGTATTTATTACATTAATAATAAAATTTATAATAATAATAATAAAAAAAAAACACTAGGCCTATAACTGTACGTAAAATACTTATGTTCAAATTCAAGGCATGCCTAATGTTGAAGCAAACGCTCCAGTGTACTTAACCGAAGCGACAGAAAAAACTCCGATTACATACATAGGTCAACCTCATACTAACTCGTCCACAGCAAACTCAAAAACAAACAAAGGTAAGACCGACTATAGCTTATTTTATTTCAGCCTGGTCTTCCATAAAATTGCTACATGCTATCAATAGATTTCGGTGGTCGGAATTAGGGAGCCATCCCGGTTGCGTACGGGACAGCGCAGTGCAACGATTGCTGTGAAAACGCTGTAGCGACAGTGTAACATATTTTATGGAAATCGGGATTATTTGAATACTGAATAACTCGTTGCGTGATGATGCCTACAACCATAGTCAACACATTGATGATGATATCAATTGGAAACTGCTTTCTGTCTCTTTTGCTAGGCCTATTAGTATTAGATAATCGAAAGTTACTTTTATAATCCTATAACTTTCGGGCTTATCGTTGCTATAGGTTTCAATTTAATTTATTACATCATACGTTATTGTATACATGTTAGCGCCCACATTTAAGAAGTTTAAGAAGTTGAAAATAGACAGTTGTTGGTCAACGAATGGTAACGCAACCGAACCTATTTTTATTGTCTCCTAAATATTTTATAATAGTTACTGTGTTAGAGGTCTATAGCTTGGCTGTGATGTACATATTCATTAAATTATTAGATAAACATTAAGGTTTAAATCATTATTATGTTAAGCATGGACTCTTCCTCTTGGTGAAGCCACCAGCGCAGCATATTCCTGGCCAGACGCACCAGACAGTGACGTGGTGGACAACCCCAACGCCAAGGAACCGTCGTATCAGATGACACAAGCATTGCAGGCAATTCCTGGCTATGAAACAACAACTGTCCGTAAAGGTATGATTAGTAAACTGATCACATTTTGGATTTGTTTTTATACGATAAAAATAAAATGATATAATACTTATTAAATTCTATTTGCATATATATATATATATATATATATATATATATATTATTATTATTATTATTATTATTATTATTATATTATTCCAGAGTAATCCATAGAAAACATTAAATGAAGTTGGCTATGCCTTTGAGAATAAATTTGATTGACCTTTTAAATTTCACTTGAGTAAATATGTTCTTTTCTTAGGAAAACCTCACAAGAAAAAAGACGTCCCCATTTCAAGAGATTTCCAACAAAAGTTTCAAGAGTAAGTAAACACGTTTTTCTGCAGTGCAACACGTTTCGGTATGATATTTAAAAGGAATCGATATAACAAAAGGCCAACGACTGTACGTATGTATATAGCATACACTAGCAAATTTCATTACGAACTCATATTCATTTCAGCGATCATGCAAAAACAAAACAAAATAGTAAGGTCTGTTCAAAGTCACACTGTCTATGATTAAATAGGCCTGTGCATAATTCGTTATTTAACCAATTTCTTTATGGTAATTAAGTAATTATAAATTATAATTAATTAGACCTGGTTATATGAAATATTAACCGTAATCAAATAGTCTCTATATAATGTGATACGCTCTAAATGATGGATCTAACGCATTCAATAAAAATTATGATAACAGTATTTCACCAAGACACCTTCGTAGTTGGACAGCAGCCCCCACCCCTCAACCAAGTTCACCCTCTCACACTTAAATCCTAGATACGCAACTGGCTACATTATATTTAACTAAATCCACTAAAGGAGTGGAGTTGAATAGCTCAGTGGTTAAGATGCTTGCCTTCTGATCCCAGGATCCTGGGTGCAATTCATGTCACGCCAGGCATTTTTCTCACGACTAAAACAAATCTACTCCCTAAGCATCATAAAGAAGCTTAGTTTATAAAGCATCATTCTCATCGTGTAAGTGGCGAGTTTACTTGCTGTTTCATGTGAGGGAAAAAAATATTAAAATAATATTATATAATAATAATAATTATTATTATTATTATTTTTATTATTATTGATTATTATTATTATTAATAATAAAAATAATTATTTTGATTTTTAGATTACCTGCTCCACTTTCCAAAGCAGATGCCCATGGTGTTTTGAAGGATCATGTATCTCACAAGTGTTGCTATGGGAAACGGGTTATCAATGACCTAGAGGTGGATAAGGTGATCAATGTCCCTGTCCACCAGGTGAGTTTATCAGTTGATTGTGAATGTTAATTAAATATGGTAATTATAGATTGCTGATTTATATTAACGCTTAAAATCGTCATAGCAGTAAAATATTTACATTGGAAAATAGGCTATTAGGATAAGCGTAATAGTTAAACTGAATATATATTTTTATTCCGATCATATTTGTTAGACCAATAATAAAAAACGAATAATAATAATAATAATTATCACTTAGGCCTTTTAAATTACACAGCTATATTAAATTAATTAATTTAACTAAATTAATTATTTAGTTAATACATTTTTTCAGTACAAGCTGAGTACATTTACGGAAACAAGACAAACAATCCGACTCTTCGAACCCTTTAAAGGTAACATCCAGTTCAATCTGGAGTATTGCAATAGTAGTAGTAGTAGCAGTAGGAGTGGTAGTAGTAGTAGCCGTAGCAGTAGCAGTAGTAGCAACAGCAGCAGCAGCAACCGTAGTAATAATACAGTGCATCCTCCAATTCTAGACCCATCTAATTCCGAGACTTCTCTGATTTGAGACCACTTTGGGGGCCTTGCCGCCAATTTTGGAAACATTATAGGCCCTGAAAATGTTGCTCAAAACAATAAATAGTTGACTTTTAAATATTTGAATATGATGATAAAATTAAAATTTGATAAAACAATAAAGAGGCACAATAACAGGAGCGTAGTGTATTGTATCTGATAGGTCAGAAGATTGACAACCTGAACAACCCTTTCCCTCCCACGATATGGGAAGTAAAGAACAGTCCAGATTCCTTGTGGAAGAAACACACAAAGAAATGCACTGTACCACAATCATCAACCATTGAGGTATGTAGAATTTTTAAACGGTGTATTTTATAAATAAAATAAGAATCAAGTGTTTACACCGCACCCTTATTATTTTAACAATGGTGTTGAACATTTTCAGACTTGTCATGGTTGCACAGGAAGGGGATTCAATAAGTGCTATCGATGCCTGGGACGCGGAACGGTAAGTTTACGCATGGTTTACGTAAATATTATTAACGACACATAACGCATGTTATTCGTTTTTGATCGACAGAACGCAAGTCAGCTAATGTGAATTTAACATCTTACTAGTGAAGACCAATTTCAGATAGGCCTAATAGAATAATAACTGAACGACAAGTTAATAGGTAAAAGTTAACAAGTAAAACTATTTAAAATCCAGACAAAATGCAAGAAGTGCAAAGGAACTGGAAAGGCTAAAGCAGATAATTGCTTAGAATGTGCTGGATCGGGAAACCGTCGCTGCCAACTGTGTCGAGGTCATGCGTGTATCGTTTGCTCAGTATGCCAGGGGTACAAACAGTTACACTTCTACATACAATTAATATCTGATTTGTAAGTATGGATACATTACATATGATTTACATCTGTAGTAAACATGCAGTGCGGAAAAAAATACCGTACACATTCTTCTTCTTCTTGTGAAGTTGTGGTGTAGAGGGATGGATGCAATGATTGAATCGCTAATTTCTTATTCTGTTAAAAAGTTACCTAACTGTTATATATGTGTTTTTCTATAGTAACGTATTGGAAGATGAGGTATGGTTGAATGCAACTAAAGTGTCGACAAAAAGTCTTCAAAAGCTAAAAAAGAGCAAAGTTATTGAAACTGAAAATATAATGGTAAGATTACTTTTTTAAAATTAGGATACGTAAAACCTAGGCAAAGAGTTATGATGCACCACCATGAATCTTAATACCTTAAATAATCAGGAATGCGTGCATGTCCCACTACACGCGAGTTTAAAAAAACAGGGTGTAATCATGTTTGCCTTCCTATGTGTGATCAAGCGTCTATGCCGCCATCTATTCGAACCGTGGGTTTTCATTGTCCTCCAAATCGCATCTCTTCCCAGTCTAATTCCTATTTCTTTCTTCCTTTGAGCCCTCGCAATTGTGCTCTGTATATTTCCTCTCTGTAATAAATATATTACATGTAACATTTTCCCCAGGTCAGTCCGATTATAAACTACTCATTTGGAGACGTAAATAATGCATCAGATTCACTTGTAACCAAGCACTCAAAGGAACCAACCAAGTGTATCATCCAACAGGTATAAGATCATCTTATTTTTCGTTTACACTTAATTTCCCCTAACATTTAATAACACAATGAATTATTTATTGTTCTGAAGACGCAACGGCAACAGTCCAAATTACCTTTACTGCAAATCAATGTCAGTGGTCGAGCGAGTGAATAAATAATAGTAAAAAGCCTAATTACTGCAATACGCGGAACCACTGTGACCAGTAAATAAATCGGATAAAATAAAATCTCCAATAACATTGAACTGTGCTGATACAGAAATTATTTGCAATATTTGAAAGGTTTGTCTGCATACAAATAATTATTTACATTTTTACAGCGCATGTTGCGCTGCGCCTCCATGCGCTTTATATTAGATTATAAAACAAACAAAACAAAAAAAACCCCAAAAACATGAGGGCATTCCACAGAATACTTACATAATTACTTATGTTTAAAATTCTATTAAACCATTTTTCAGCGTCATGTTCTGTTTGCGTTACCTGTGGTGGAGGGGCAGTATGTGTGGAAACGTAGAATAAAATCATTCTGGGTCTATGGACACGAGCGTCTGGTGTATGCTCCGGAATATCCAGAGTCGTGTTGTGGCAGATGTGCTTGTACAATAGTCTAGATGTCAGGCCGCCTGAGAAATACTAGTCACTAACGTTATGTAACATTATTCACTGTACAGTATTTAATCATACAATTATAAATTATTAATGCCTGACATGTCCGTCCATAAATTCTATATTGTACCGTACTTTGTCAGTGACGATTCAAACAGTTGTTGCAACTATACTTTAAATCAATTCAATTAAATTCAAATTTATTTGAGCATAATTCAACACATTACAAAATCATAAGTCTAAATTATATTCTTTCCATAAAAAATACCCTAACGTAAATAAGAGTTGGTAGGCAAAATAGGGGTACCAATTCACATCTAACTTTGAGGGCTCCGGTGGAAATTAATGGCCCCAATGGAAAGTTTTTTTATACAGTATTTTAAAACTTTGTCGGGTTAGCCTAGGAATTAATATCTTTAATATCTGTTGTTCTTCATTATATATCTGTTCTTTATTTTTGTTTTGCATTCAAGAAATGTTTTGTGATTTTAATTCCTGAATAAAATCAACGAAATGATACGTGTCATAGTCCAACTAAAATATTAATTAAATATGATAATCATATAAGACAATTTATATAATACATCATGCTAAACGTAGTATATGTTTATGTAAAATATTTCGTTATTAGCTAGCAGTTGATGTAGGCCTAAGCAATATAACTGCTATAACATTTAATTGGGCAACAGTGATGGAACGATTTAAAAGGTGATTATGTGCTAATGTTTTGTAATGGCCTTAATGATATAATATATATTTGTGTTGAGATGAATATATAATTATAATATAATAGCTTATACAATATATATTCAATACTGTATTCGATTAATGCATTAGCTTACCTTACAGTATATCAACAATAACCAGTTATACAAGGCTGAAGCTAGTGCACTATATACTGTAATATTATAAACTATACTGAAATCAATACTTGTGTGAAGTCATTTCCTATAATTAAATTGTCTGTGTAGAGAAGTAAATGTTTTTATTTTCTACAACTAACACACAGTTGCCTTGCTAATCAAAGAACATTTACCAACCTCATAAAAAATGCCAAAATTTGAACCAAATGTGCAGTTGTAGAGTTTTGCATGTTTACAAAATTATAAATCCAAAGGCCTAATTTCACATGGAACAGGAAGTTTTCTATATAAAATCCCCTAGTAGTCTAGGCCTAAATAAATAATGGTTTGCCTTATGATATCAAAAGATTAACAATAAAATTTAAACACCTTATATGATTGGCTAATTAGAATAATTAATCATGGAATCAACATAAACAATAATGACTCGAGAAAGAAACGTTTCCAAGAAAAAGCTCTTTATTCTTCTGTGAACATGTAATCTCAGAAATTAACAACCACAAATTATCAACTAATTTTGAATCAATAAATGACCTAGATAAACTCTATTATTTTAAATAAGAATAACCATATATTATACACAAATAAATTCATTTTTTTAAAAACCATTATTTGGTTAAAAAGCTTATGGGAATAACGCTCATATCAAGTGGGTATACGACATGTTTGTTTTCTTGTCAATAAATATACTTTACATTTAATTATACTTAAGTGCTGCATACTTAATGTATTTATAATTATAGCCGCCTTTGTTAAAAGCTGCAAAGACTTAAGTTTGTATAATAAGTTATAGAAATATTTTCATCTTCAAGCAAAACAGTAGTAGCAGAGACATAATATTGTATTATTTTATTCATCTTTGTCAAATGAATACTTTATTAAAATATAATAAGGCCAAAGTTAAACTCTTAACTGAATCGAAGTCCTCCTGAAAATAAACATTCTTAAAATCAAATAAAATTGAATCCATATCAAAATGTGATACAATCTGATTGTCCAACAATATTAAATACTAAAAAAAAAAAGAAGAGAAATCTTGTCCAATATTAAGAAGACAGGTTACGGTCATCAGCACACAAAAGCCTTTTACTAAGGAGACAAGTTAAGGCCATCAGTCCTCAAGACCTTTTTTGTTGGGTTTAGGAGAGTAGCACCAGAGCGAAGAAATAATAAATGGTGGGACTTTAAATACTAAATATTTTGGATGTATGGATTTATGGAACGTACAAAAATATTTTTGAAATAACATGATTTGGTGGAATAAGGCTGGTGGAGCTACCATGTGTCCCCAAAATATTTTAATATGTCCATTTTTATATTATATATTATTCTAAAACAAAACTGCACCAATCCCAATAATTTCATGTCCAGATGTTTCAAGTTTACCTGATTTGGATTGACAAACAAAATTTGATACAATTCATACAATTTTGGAATGTGATCTTTAACAATATCCCTCCAATCATATTTTGTCAAAGCTTTCAAATGGTATTTTTACAGCCATTATGAATGTTGCCACCAATCAACACACAAGTTAAAACTATTACTGTATATAAAATATGCAGCAAGTGAAATTAAAGTTCAGAAATGTGAGGATTGATATGATACAGGTGGAACACTTCAAATAAAAGCACCACACACTTAAATGCAACTATCAGCAACTATATAGCTATCATGATCAAAAAACATCAAGCAATAGCGCTATCTTGATTTAGCTGTTGTGCATGGCGTTGGCAACACATACATTTCCAAATCTATTTATGTAGGCCTACTAAGTCAAGCATTTGCACACAAATAATCTAAACATATAAATTTAAACATGTATTGTTTTATAAAAAATATCGATTAAACATTTTCTCTAGATATATGCAAATATATAAACATGGAGTCATCCACTTTAAATATATATTTATCAAACTTAGATTCATCTGAAGTAAAATAATAAGATTATTTGAATGAGTGTCCTTATTAAACAGTTTTAGGATACACGGTGAGATTGTACATAATACAACCAAAAAAAATCTTACCCTCACACTCAAGCTTGAGGCCACTAATTCTATTTAGGTTCATTTATGGTATACAGTACACAAGAGGTACTTAAAACTTTATGCACTCAGAACTGGCCTTAGTAAAGTCTTACAAGATTTAAATATTTTCACACTCTGGATTGATCATTAAACAACCTTACACTATCTAAAATAAATTCCCCTTATATTATTTACATTACACCCTGGAATAATCTGGGGGAAAAGTATTCACAGTTGCATCATCCCTAAATCTTTACTGTCCCACTCTGACAAGTCCAACTTACAATACTAGATACAGGTATACTGTATACTTAAAACAGAATATCTAAGCAGAGACAGGTCTGAAGGAGTGATTTTGTGTGCATAAAGTTGCAGTAGGATGGACATGAACATCTAATGTTATCATTTTTAACAATGTTTAACACATAAAAGTTACAGATTTATGGTACTGGACTACTGGTGCAAACCAAGTCTCTACAAGAACTTTGGTGAACAAAATCAAAATACCCCAAGGAAATTTCATAGCAATACACGCCAATAATATAGAATAACGAAGCAATAACAAAAGAACATTAAACATAACCCAGTCTTGTGATCTGTTGAAAATATTAAAATTTGTCATTCCTCTATTGGATGGCTTATTTATGGCATCAAGTATATGCTTATTGGTCAGTATTCCTTGGACACTACTTTCATTATAACAGCTGAGTTTTATACATATGATACATACTTTAGAGCCATTTATTTGATTTCTTTAAGCCAAATGATTTGAAAATGTATCAATCAACCAATTAGGGTTTATGGCACACATGTTCAACCACTCAAATTATGTTTGAAAGACTTAAATGGTTTCAAAATTCATTACAGAATTTCAACCAAAAATTCAAAGGTAAGTGATAAAATTGACTTAAAAACAGTCCTTATATATATTATAACAGTCCTTATATATATTTATTTCATAATATTTTTAATAATCAATTTTCAACATGTGTTTTCGAGTGTAAATGGTATGGCTCATCGGTAATGATAGAAATAAAAAATTTAAAATTAAAAAATATTTGTAAACATTTGATAAATTATATATCTATGACATGTCTATATTTTCTACATATTATATTGATTTGTTATGTTTTCTTGGTGATGATATTGTTTAACCTGGAGGGGGCCTACTCTCAGTTTCTGTGCCATATGATGATTCTGGAGTATCTATTGCATCACTTACATACTTGTCCAGCTTCACTATGGAAGACATGGGATCTATATCTTCCTTAAGGTCCTCCAGCGCAGTCTCCATCTACAAAAAATAACAAATAAAAAAAACAGTATGAAGCAAGAGAGATTTAAACAGTTTTGTCAAGCTGATCATGCAATGAATTGCTGGATTTGCACAACATGACAGAACACCAAGAAAAGCACTACTCAATCGATTAAATATCCACTCAACTGATACGCTATACTACAGTCACTTTTGCTGATATGGCCATCTTTCAGTGTAGTGAAGTGGACACGTATACAAAGCGTATCATAGACTCATGGTCACCCACTTAAATCATGGTGGGATGCTGTGATGGGTTACTTCCGCAGATTCAATTCTAATCTGGAGGTAGTGGCTGAGCAGACCAAGTGGTCTCACAAAATACATCCACCATACAGTTAATTGTGTGAGCTTCTCACAGTCTATCCCACTTGGGTGGGGGATAAACAGACTTTAAACAATGATGATGATGATGATGATGATGATGATGAAGTTGATATTAGCATTTTATGTAAAATATAAAAGTTTAATATAAAATAGTACATGACCAAAATGCCAGTTTTACTAACCTGTTTCATGAGCTGTACACACAAGCCAATGATATCTCTCCATTTGCTTAGTTCTTCTTCATGGAATAACTGTTGTTGTTTTATTAAGTTTCTCCACTCTTCATCAGTTGCCGGCACTTTGTCAAGCTTCTCAAAGATATCACTCTTTGACCAGAGATTTCTGTTTAATGCTGTCTTCTGCTCGAGATGCTGCAGCTGAGAGTACAGCAAGATGTTTACCAATACCAAGAGAAAAAGAACTAAGCAGACAAAAAGCATCATGGGACGTGAATTGAGATGCGCACTACGCAAACACGACAAGAATCCTGTGGAAATGAAGTAATGAATATATTAAATCAGGTGGTGTAAAACTACAGCTCAAAACTTGAATAATTAAAAAAATGTTCACTTCAGTTTTCTAGTTTATTCCAATTTGATTTGAGGATTAAAATAAATTATTGCAGGTATATGCTGACACTGAATTTTCTACCTGCAAGCTCACTTAAATGTATTCTAACGAACCTGTATTTTGACCTTGTACTGAGATGTTCTTTTTAAGCAACCGCTGAGCTGCTGTGTTTTCATTCTCCTCCTCCTTAGTACTTGGGTGTTTTCGACGTTTTGTTTTCCTTCTTTTTCCACTCTCTACCTCAAGATTTTCTCTCAGATATCTACCTGCAGAGATCGCAAAATAGTCAAATTAGATGACCATAGTAATATGTCATTTTGAATTTAAAAGGCATTCATATGAACAGCTTAATTTGGCTATATTTGCAAAGTAAACAGATGATTGAAGTGTGTGAAGGTTGTTTAAGTAAGAGGCCTTTCCATATATTTTAAGAATGCTCTCAGTTTAGAATGATTTATGTATATTACCTTCACTTCCTAAGAAAGTACATGATCACTTAGTTAAACTAATATTCCCTGTGACATCCATACGTACCTAGAAAAATATACCCACTCTTAAGACCAACATGCACCTGTTTCTCAATGAAGTTCTTTATCAGCCAGGAAGCCTTGCTGAAGCAAACATCAGCATTTACACTGTGGGAACAAAATGAGGGACTTTAGAAAAACATTGGAAACAAGACGAAATACATCAGAAACAATAGAAAAACATTGGAAACAAGGTGGAATTATGTATTATTTAAGCCTAATTGGAAAGTAATATTTGCCATCTCACAGGCCTACACAATGTTTTTGTTTTTGTAACATTATTTTGTATATAGTATTATAAAATAGTTAATTAATGGCAACCTATCCCCTGCTGGACATTAAACTTGTGTTTCTGTCTTGGGTTTAAGCCTGAAAGTCAGTTTAATGTGAGCATTTTATTACTCCTCTGCACATTGAGATATTCTTCAAGATTCACAGAGGGCTGTTGTTATCAAAGGCAGATTTCCACGTGATGTAAGAGGATCTCCTTTGCTGGGCCTAAGCAGCCTACTTCCTCATAATACTGATGATTGATATTAGATTTCACACCATACTAAAGAAACAATCAAGTGAAACTCAAGCAAGATTCAGGAATGAGATGGCAAACAAAAATGAAATAATCAACAGGTAATTCTTACCATAAACGACATTTATTTGCACTAACCCGGGTGATACACCAGCGTCCAAGGACATGGAAGTTGTCTGAGTATGGGATGCCCTTATTTACTACTTTATTCTCTGCAATATAGCAACTGCCTTCTTTACTAAGGTCACGATGGAATGTCTAAAATGCCAAACATAAAAAATATAACAATTAACACATTTTGTTTAATAATACTAAAAAATGATAATATTCTATTACAATTTTTGATCTTGTGATTAGAGTAATGATGAATGTTTTGTGTCACCTCATGAATTAAATAATAGTAACGATGCAAAAATTCAGGCTGATCTAAATGGTACCATTTTAGCACCTCAATAATTGTCATAAGCGCCACAGTTCATTAATCATATAAATTTGTAAGCGCTGTGATGCTTACTGGAACAAAAACGGCAAAAGCAACAGCAGCAGTAACGCCGCATATCAGGCCCAGTAGCCAGGTCATTTCAAGGGGGGGTTCTCTTGGCGTGGGGACCAGGGGATTGCTTAAGGGCCCCGGTGGGGCGAAGCCCCCGAAGCCAGAGCAGTTTTTGTGTTTAATGGGTCTATATAATGTTATAAAAGCAGTTATGTTTTGAAAAAGATCTGTGTAATAAAAGGTGGTAATATAATAAAATTGGAAAATATTTTCTGATAAATGGCATGTTTTAATCACACGGAAAGACAAAAAAATCCTCATCGCACAATCAATATCAATATACTCAACACATTTATTATTATAAAACAAAACAAGCTATTTATAGGCCTACAAAGTAATTTACAAAGAATTATGTACTTATTATTATAATATATAAAACATTTAAGAAGTTTTGTCTTGTATTAACTTAAAAAAATTAATCTTCCTGTAGGCCTATATAAAAAAATAGAGTTGCCTGTTACAAAATAAAGTAGAAGCTGAATTTCTTCTTGACTCTCATCTTGTACTATTTTTACTAAATGGCTAAAAAATCACAATTATTGTCATTACTACAACTGACAGGGCCATCGTTAAATTAAGTCAGATTCCAAAATATAGCATCATATTGAATACGTCATCTGACATCATGGGAACCTAAACTTTAATTACAATTATTTGTTTACTAGGCCTAATTCGAAATTATTGTTTTAAGACTTTAACCTAATACATACTGATTAATAATAGCTGAGATTTGATGCACATTTCAGAATTAATAATCGTTTTTAGCATCTTACTGAATATTTATTGTCTACTAAATGAAATATGAATTATATATGAATCTTTAGAAATACAATTTCTACAATATTAATCTTGTTTTTATATAGATAAATGTTCGATAAATACTATCTTTCATAAAACAAACGAAATTCAGCGCGTCTATTTTCATTCCAATCAATGGCGTTTGTAAACATGTGCACTGACGTCATCGTCGAATCCCAGGACTTTCGACGGCAAAGCTGGTCTGCCTGCCTACGTCCTAGGCCAACCAATAATAATTAACAAAATGTATTTTTTTTTAAAATATAGGCCTATGGCCTACGTTCTACTGTACTTACTTTGATGTCGTCGGGGTATAATTCTGTCTCTAAATGCAGCGTGACCACTAGGAAAAATCAAATTTCAAGATTGGGTCTAAAAAATCCCAAGATTGCTTTTAAAAACCCAAGAATCGCAAAATATTAGTATATATACATAAACTTCATTTAAAAGTCCTTCATTTTAAAGCTTTTTTAAATTTTGTACTGTATAAGCCTTAACGAAGTGTCTAGATTTTCGAGATCAGAATCTCGTTCGTTTTGGGCCATACTATTCGAAGGCCTACTCTGTGCGTCCGTGGAAAATCCTTTTTGGTGACTAAAACGTGATATCCTTTCCTCTGGCATTGTATGTTAGGCCAAGAGTTTGAAGTTTGTGCGCAATTTCAACCCATTCGATATTAACAAAGTCAGTACTCATTATGCCTATGGCCTTATTATATAAAAGGGCGTAATCGATCTTTTCAGAGTGTCTAACTGATCTGTCAATTTTATACCAGGGGACTACAGTATTGCATAGGAGTATTTACAATAAGAAA